AATTTGGTAGTTGCTCTTCAAAACTCTACGTTCATTTCTTCGTTAATCTCGTTATTTGCCTGCTTAGTAAGTTCATCAGGGCACAAGTATTCATATGCCGAAAGATTTTTTTTTGATTTTATGTCCATTGGCAGATCCGCCGTATCACTAATTTTCATAATAATATCATTCACCAAGAAAAACTGTCTCTATCAAAGACTATTACAAAATCATTCTGCTTGTTTACTCTATTGTACTAACCTCTTATTAAGATTGCAAACATGTAGATGGCTAGTGCAAGGTCAAACTGTGTCTTCGCGTTTTTCCAAAAGTATCTTTTTTTTTTCTCCCGAAAATAAAACGGACAAAAATGCTTCCCTCAGGTTCTATGTTTCAGTTTTTTCGGTGTGTCTGCAACGGGATAAATGTACGGTGAATGATCATGAGCACCAGGGACTTTTGAATTAATCAGTCTACGTTTAGCGAGTATTTAGCTGATATTTGAGTTTCGACAAGCTATCATGTTAGCGGCAGTGACTATGAAAACAGGTGATCAACTTATCAGCTGTTCTTTTTCCTATTTAATTTTCCCTTTCAAACAGCCAAATACAGATAACATGTTTTCCCATACACATAAAGTATTTCCCCATACACATACAGTAAAATATTTCCCCTTCATGGTTTGCACATGCACTGAGGTGGAAGTTGCAGCGGCATATATGGATAATTCGTCACCTGTTGGCGGTAAAAGTGAAACAAATCGTTTCCAATAAAATGACACAATAACAAAAACAAAGAAAATATTCCTTTAAGAAACAGCACGACAGTTAGAAAGAACAGTTATCAGTGAGCTTGGCACGAACAAGATCTTTTACTAGAAACTTTTCCAATATATATATAGTAAAAACCCGCTTGTAAGAACCTAAATTTCAGCAAGTCTGGCAAAATTGTATTTTGGTCATTGGCAATTTATATATTCCGGCTTTCCTTCCTTCTTTCCACCAGTTACTGTGTTTCGTTTGCAAAGGATAATTCCAGGGTTTCCCCCATCTCTCGATCTGCACCGCGGGGTACTCCGGAACCTGTGTCTTTTAATAAGACTCTCGATCTGTTCCGGAAGACAAAAAGAGATGAATTTGAGACTTCGCTCTAGATTCTAATGGTAAAAATAGGAATCCTGTTCCAAACAATAAACAACAAAAATGTTCACATTATTATTGTCAGGGGAGCGTAGTTTCGCACCTAACCTTGATCCAGAATAATTGCGTATATATTTATGGTAAAAAATTGTTCCTGTTCCAGGGTAAAACTGAAGAAAGATGTGGTTACATCTCTTCCAGGGAAAAAGTGTGATTTTAATACCCTGTTTCAGAGTGAGAGAGGCAAATAGCGTTCCCTGCTGGGCGGTTCATACCGGTATGGTCCATGATTATTTTATGGTGCGTATATCATTAGTTAGATGTTATCATTACTTAAATGTAAATGACCTTTACTGTAAATGGACCGATACCTCCATATGGGGAGTAAGGCACAATAAAGATACTGTTACTGTTATATGGGAGAACCCCCCTAGCTCGCCAAACCAGTATCTTTCTCGATTTACTACTGAGCCTGCGTGGCAGGTTCGAAATGGAAAGGGAAGGACATTTCGAGCCCAAATTCCCTTTCTCTTCCCTTTCGAACGTTAAGCTATCACATACTAAGCAAACAACACAACTAATCTTTTAAACCTTGTCCTTATCAGTACTTTCGGAAGTTTGTGTTTTTCTGAACTTTATGATAGAGGGTTTATTAACACTGCAGCTGCCCTTTTTTGTAATTAACAGTTTTGAACAAACTTGAAGTTTGAGATGGAACTGAAGGCGGGTCGCGCTGTGAGATAAACGACGCCCATGAGAGAGGAGGCACTAATTCCCTTGCCGTATATTTCATGCTGCTGAAAAATTCTCCGCAATTGCTTTAACTCGTGGTGAGTTCTTCAAGGCACAGGTGTCCGTACGAAGAGGAAGGCTTAGGTTTTAGATCGATGAAGATCAGGCTTGACACCAGTTCACATAACAATACGGCAATCATCAGAAAAATCATGTCCTATACTAAGATATTTACCCTATGCAATTAATAGTTTTGATTCCGGCTCGTCCATTAGCCTGTGTTCAGACCCCCCTCCCTTCAGGAAAAATCGGAGACATCAGCTTAACCATCCTTTGTTGCGCACGTGCCTTACTTTCATAACGTCTTTACACGCGACATTTAGTGGGTTGCAGTAGTTAGTTAAAGGTACTAAGGCGTTTTCCCTTACTCTTACTACCAGAACTCGCAATAAAAGTCTTAGTGTTGACGGCAATTTACAGCTGCATGTATTAGCCTTGTCAGAACTCATTGACGGTTGGGCTTACTATTCCACCCGTCAAGTAAAAGGTCCCAGATATTAAACTTGAAAAACCCAGCCAACTCAGTCCATCGGCTCCAGATCTTACAAGGAGGTGCATAAAAGATACAATTCCTCACTCAGTCCCAGAGTAATAAATGCTTTGTTCCAAATGGCATTGTTCTAAACACCGCTACTGCACTCTAATAAATTCCTTATTCAACAAATAGTTTGATTAAGCAGTTTTTAAGTGCATGTGTGATGTAGAACTGATAGTGGAACCCGGTTAATATGGACACCGAGGGGACATCTGTCCGTATTATCCGGGTGTCCGTATTAAAGGGGCTCTCAGAAAAATCGTCGCGGACACATGAATTATTAGAGACCTTTAGATTCGAGAACGACAGTACGAGGACGAGATTTAACTTAACGTTTTTTCTCGTATTCTCCAAAAATAGACACCCCGGAAAGCTTCGTTTTTCATTAGAAAAGATAGCACTGTTATCTATATTAAAGGAGGTTAAGCCCTCTCTCGTGCGCAAAATGATAAAACTTCCAGCATTTGATAACTCGTTTCCGTCATTACGACATTCTTGCTAAAACTCGTAGTAGAATGACGACGGCTTCCAAGTTTTTCCGCCAAAATGACGCTGCTTCACGCGCGCGCACTACTTAGTACTGAGGAAATCTCGTCCTCTTAGTCGAACTCATCTTAGAATCTGAAGCTTTCTATTGATATTTAAGACTAAAACAGACAAAAAGGAGGAACGTTAGGACCAAACATTGCAGAATAAAGCGAGGGAAGCCAAACTTGTGTAATAGGAGGCAGAAAACTCTGTTTAAGGGCGTCACAGCAATACAAGGGTCCGGGGGGGTACTTCCTTATAAGAGGCTAATGGGGATGTGCCGCTGGATGGGGTTCCATTATCACGACTGGATTGACTATAATGGGGTAGCATTTTCAATAGAGTTACTAGAATGGGGTCGCACATTTTCTGATTTTTGGGGTAAGACAGTTCTCCATATTTACGGTTAGGAAACGTACCAGAATTTTTGTACCGTAAGTGAAAAGTTAAGTGTTCTTAATTCAATATAAGGTAGATACATAAATAGAAAGTGACTAAGGCGGAATCTCGAAAATTACACATTTGCCCAAAAGTGACTAAGATGGGGTCTATAATTGGCCACAGAACAGCCTATAATGGGGTAGGGGCTCTGAGAGGCCAGCAGAACATACCCAGCAAAATTAAAAAGAGTAAGACCCCGGGACAAGGGTGAAACACAGGAAGAACAGGGAGTCACATTTGATAGATAAAGCCATGACTCTTGAACCTCATGGCCTAAACCGCCGTGACGAATTATTGTAATCCATATCCTTAGTATTTTTCCTTTCCAGTTTTTGTGTTGTACGTCATTTCCGCCTCTCTCTTTTACACGATTTTTATTGCGACATTCTTCATCTATATAATATTCTGATTCCTACATAAGTTCAGTAACATCTGTAAACGTGAAGATGGCTGGTAAAACCAGCCGAAATATTGTTATGAAAAAACAATACACGCTGTTCTGAATCAGCTTTGCAGTAGTCTTTGGACTTCTCGTTCTTGATTCTTTATATTTTGGCTGATTAGATCTCTTTTCTAGAGATCCAACGTTTACAACTAGCAGGATCCTCGTCCACGGTTTTTGCAGTTAATTTATCCTTTATTATTCAAAAGTGTTACTCTTTTTTGAAATCTGTCATTTACTGTACAATTTCTACAATTAGCTCATGATTGTGAAAATGAAAATAGGCAGTGCGCAGATAACTGGTTTCCGTAACGCGGGGTTGACGAGATATGAGAGTTTTTGACTCGGGACACGGAGAAAAGCTCGCTGCCCGTATTAACCGGTGTCCTTATAAAGTGGGTTAATTTTATAGAAAACGTATGAGCTTTCAGTCGGGACAAACGAAACTGTCCGTTAGTTATATACTTAATACGGGCGTCAGTAGAGCGGGGATTCACTGTACCATAAACTACCGCTTTTAAGTCCTGGGCTTCTAAATCTTAGTAGGAGTTTTAGGAGGGCTTATAAAATAAATGGAGGGGCTTATTATATCCGAGGGGGCTTATAACCGGATTATAAAAGGTGCTTCGAAACAGGCTATAGTAGTGCTGATCAAAATACGTTTTACATTGATTGGTTTTTAATTAAGGTTTAAAACATCATAATAAATCAAATTCATTTCAATACATGTATCCAGGGGGGGGGGGGGGGGCTTATAATTGGATGTACTTTTTGCTTACAGGTTCCTGTAACTGGGGGCTTATAAGTGGGGGAGCGACGTAATGAAGTTTTGAGAGAATTCAAACATTTAGCTAGAAACAGTCTTGGCGAGAACCACGGTTTTTGCCAGAAAAAAAGGAATGCAGGAAACGGAGATCAGGCCTGGCCTTGCTCTTTCACAATTTGTTACAATTTTTGTACTGGTTTAATGTTTGCTTCGTTTTAAAGAATGCAACTACTCTAAATTATAGACAAATTCCAAGTATAGTAACAGAATCGCAGTCAGTGTCCGACTGTCGCCCAACTGCAAAAAACCCACGTCTCGCGCGCACGCACGTTATCGCGGGCGTGTTTTTTGACCTAATTTCCGTTCTGGGATCATGTCTTAACTTCTAAAATTATGTATCAGCCCAAAAACTGAACCAAGCAAGGAGAAGATAGCAATAGTCAAGGTTATTTGAATCTTGAAAAGACGAAATCCGTAGCCACGTCTCCTACTTTGTTGAAGAAACAATTCTAGATCAAGTCGGGAATGGAAAGTTTCGCCCGGCAAGAAATCGAGTCTGTCATTCAAGTCTTGCACAAGGGTTGATTCGTGCCAGGTCACGTAACTCGCAGAAAGAAACGGGAAGAAAAACTTGTAGAGCACAACTAGGGTACCGCAAATCTGAGCCATGTATTCGTAGACAAAGTGAAGCTGTCGCGCAGCCTCCAACCACTCAAAAATGTTCGCTAATAAAACTACAACATAGAATAACATGTGGATGAGAAACCAAATACGTATCGTATTGACCCGTTCTGCTATTTGCTGTCGCAATTCTTGGTGTATTACCAATGTATCAGTGATAGTCCCAGTGCATGTAGATATCCGTCTGTACCCTTTATCGATGTCATTTGCCATGACAAGGCATAAGGAGAAGAAAACAGAGCAAACAGCAACGGACGAATACATGCCCCAGTATATGGAAGACGCCAAGGTATAGAAAACTGCATTGCATGCTAGTGGGTGTCGGCAATCCTCCAAAATAGTTGCTTTTATGTTGACCAAATCAAAAATGACCTGATAATAGGCATCGCCAAAGAGAATCCATGATACTAGGAAAAACCCAGTGAAGAGAGCTACATTGATAGCGCGGTTTTGGCGTCCGCGTAAATCCCTCATCCACTCTTGCGATTGGTATCTAAAGTAATAAAGAGCTAGGACGTACGACACGAAACCACTTATCCACAGCGATGAAAGAAGCATCTTTGATCCTATGTGATAGTTTCGATGGTCTTGGGTCAGCGTGAAATACAAATGTGCTCCAACTCCGAACAGCAGGAGAAACACAGGGACAAACGTAAGCGGCCATATCGACTTCCTCTTCACTGGCAGCCAGAAACCCAAAAAAGCTATCGCTAAAAAACAAGTCAGAGGCCATTGAGAATCAAAGATAAATTTAGTCTTCGAACAAGTTGTGCTCAGTGCGTAGTACAACCAACTTGATCTATGCTCTGTACAACCAAAAGCGATGTTCTGTAGAGGAAGGTCCGTGATGGTCTCTCCAGATTCCTTTGGCGCAGGCCATTGTGTTGGATGGCTCATTTCTCCACTGGCTATATTTGGGTCCAGATGGTCTGTTCCCTCATTTATTGATGGGTTTTGTTGACCCACAAAAGGAAGCAAAGGACCTGTCTCTGATTCCCCCATGTTTTGAATCTGTTTTTCTGGAGAACTCCTGGTGTAAATCTAGGCAGTTCTTCTGCGAAGACGTTCACCGTGTACATAATAGTACATAATAGTGGGCAAGACCGCATGACGTTTTTCGTATTGCAGGCTCAACCTGGTCTCGGTCGTTGTTATCTGCAAGTGGGTAACGACACAGAGATGGATTTGGCTCCTTGCTAGCCTGCGTAGCATGGCGGTTTTGTCGAGCCGGGCGCACGAGCTGCAAAGCCGCGAGAAAAATAAAATTTTTCTCTCTCCCCGCCGCGTGTCGCCTTTTCTCGCGTGGAGTGATTTTCACGCGCGCTCGCGTTTCGCTCGCTCTACTATCCCTGAGGAAAAATAGGGGATTTTCACGTTACGTCATCGCCGCCATACTGGTGGACGGTAAACAAAAGATCGCTCATTAGCTCGCCTTGTTTGTCCACTAGCCTCCCACGCAGACGTTTACGGGTTCGTCACGCAATCTTTACAAAGAACGTTTGCGTGGGAGGCTATTTGTCAGTCCATCAGCATTTGTTCATTTCACCACTGTTATTTGTGTCTCCCGAGATTGCATGAAAACCACCTATAGTGGGTAAGGTTTTATTAGCCTGCGAACAGCAGACGTATTTCCAGTCGAGTCGTCGCGTCTCTCCCTTTCAGAAAAAAAATCGCCATGGTAGCCCAGTTATTTCCTTTCGGTGAGTCTAGTTAAGTTAATGTTTAAATTTTTCCTTGATTGGAGTAGGAGTAGTTTGTTTAATTTCCTCAATAAACGTTATTAATTGGAGTGGCGAAGTCGCGAGGAGCAGTCAGACTGCCCCTGGGTCTCCAAGGATGCCGACCGGGTGATGCATGATCATGAAAAGGGGGCGGATTAGAGGGCTGGTCTTTTATGACCATATATGGTATAAACAAAAAAGGCCTGGGTTCTTGATGGAAGCAAGCGTTTACTCCATTTCACATCGTTTGCACTGCGAAAATGGCATGTATTTTGTTATTTTAACCGACTTATATCGTTTTATAGTTGAAATGACATATTTCGTTTTACTTCTTTTGTATTTTTAGACAACTTATACGGATAAAGGAGAGAAGGTAAGATAGATCAAGGAATGCAAATAAGCCACGTTTTCAGTTCCCCCGACACAGCGTGCCTACGTTTTCGTGACAATACTTGAGGTCGTCAACTGTACTAATGTAAATGGGACACGTTTTTTGTTGGTGATAATTGAATAATCAGCTCGATGTTTGGCTGAAAGCGAGAAATTCGGGGTTAATGATTTTTATGGGCCAAATATTTAAACGTAGTGTAGCAGAGTATTTATCAAAACCGCGTTCTAAGTCATTTTCAATTTGCCCAACGATTTTATCTAAACATCATTTATTGTGAACAGTTTTATGAAAGTATATAGAGAAGACTAGAGAAGATATCAAAGAAGAGATCTGGAGGTTCAAAGATTCGTTAAACCGGGGCTTAAGTTAGACTTCGTTTAAATATGTGGCCCTTTAAAGGAGCTGTGTCACGAAATTCAGCCAAAATAGGAAATTACAAAATGCCCGTTAAATTCAGAGAAACATAAAAATAACCGCTTAAAACTTTAAAGGAAGGTTAAAATAACATAACAGCAACAACAGATACCACGGATGGGCAAAACTGAAGAAGATTGAAAACGGATTGAAACGGATTGAAATTAGGGTTTTTGAAAACTGTTCAGCCTAACAGTTTTTCAAAGTTGATCCCTGTTGCTTGCAACTTCAAAAATAATGCTCAGGAGACATATTTGTTTGTCTCGGTTCTCTGATTATGTCATGAGCTTTAAGTTCCATAGCGATTGAGGACGAGTAATTGGCAAAATGAACAGGACACATTTATGATAATTAGCTAAACTATACAGGTACATTTATGATAATTAAAGCTTACATAACCTCATAATGATGTAATTCTTGAAATTTTGTGATTGAGTACCATTTAAAATAAGGGTTACTTGCAGTAAGAATGTCAGTGCATGATAAGATTTTAGTCACCAATCTGTGATGTTCCTAGATGCATGCACTGCCATTGTCATTACTGGGGCTGGGGAAGGGGGATTAATTTATTGGATGATGGTGTTCTACTGAACCAGACCATGCCCACTTATGATCAGATGTATTTTTCTGTTTGCAGGTAGATGGGTGTATAACCAGGGGGGTTTACAAGCAGGGAGAAGGGGGAGGGGGGCACGTAAGCAGTAGATTATTGTACCTACAGAATTTTTTCTTGTTTGACCTGTTAATATTTTGAGTGTAGATGAACTGTCTGTCTGTCAAAGGCATTAACACAAAAGAAGTGGTCTTGCCAGGACCATTGTGTCCTGCCACGGAAATCTTTTAAGTTTTTATGCCAGTTTGCCTATCAGAAGCAGTTCATGCACTGCATAATCAAGTTCATGATCACCGCATAAGCTCTAAATGAACATATTTTGTCTTTTTTCTAGCCTGAGGCTGGCTCTTTTATTGCTTTTGATCACATCACATTCTGGGTAGGAAATGCAAAGCAGGTTAGTGTAGATATCTTAATCTTATGAATTAAGCATATCTCCAAACTTCTCTGACATTGAACGTGTGACTTTTTCATAAAGATGCTTTTTACTACCAACAATCTTTCTTCTCAATTGTTGCTTGAAGCTTGTGCTTGAAAAGGACATATCAAACATGATAATTCAAAGGTTATTTCATGTCATATTGTGAAGTAAAAGTATGGATGGTAGGGTGGTGGCAAAACACTTAGCAATTAGCTATGACAAAATCAGCAATATTTCCCTCACAAATTCCAAATTTATGCAATGTTGCCTGACAATCTTCCATTGTCAATGTTTAAAGTATAGCTATGTACAAGCAAGGTATCATTTAATATTATAATCTATTTCACTATTGGTCAATGAATCTTGAGATATGAGATTCTTGTATCTGTGTTGCTTGCTCTGGTTCAATTTGTTGATACTTAGCGTAGAAGTCACTGTTCAGTGCGTTGTTTGCAACACGTTTGAGCTGGGAAAGAAATGTTTGCGCCTTTCATTCAACGGTCGCAAATGTTTGGGATCCCGTGTTTGTCTAGAGATGGGGATCTACTCTGGATTTCAAGTGACAGGGATGATCAAAGGATTTTTTTGGGGCTGTTGAAATTTTTGATTCTGTTATAATATTTTTTTGGGTGGCTTGATTTAAGGAGGAATTTTTTGAGGTATTCAAAACAATCTCAAGATTCGTGGTATTCCTGCATATCCAGGCACAAACATGTGGTTCCTAATGTTTATATTTAATGTTATTTTTCCTGTTATATCCATTAATGCTGTCTGAAACTTTTTAAGGCTCGGAAATTCTGCTTGGCAGTTTCTGGGGTTAATTTTTGGTCCAGGGATTTTTATGGTTTTTATTGGAAGTCCTAGGGATATTTTTGGGTTTTGATTTTTGCCCCCATTCAATCATCCCTGTCACTTGAATCCCGAGTAGCCCGCTGGGAAACCAGGATGCTCATTAAATAAAATATTGCCCACCCCACTTTCACTTCAACTATGTAATTTTTTTTGTTCATCAAGATTCTTGATTTTCGGTGCTAGTTACTCGAAGGTTCCTAGTTGAAGCTGTTGACCACTAGCTGACACTTAATTATGCACAGACATGTCAGTGATGTGATTGATGCATTTTCTAAACAAAACACCAACAGGCAGCCTCGTATTACTGTACTAAAATGGGATTTGAACCATTTGGATACAAAGGGCTTGAGACAGGCTCCAGACAGGTGGTATCACATGCTGTCAAACAGGGAAAGGTAAGAATTGTTTAAACTTGCTTCCATCATGTATTTGCAGGCAGTTTCTCATTATTATGAGCTGAACCTATGTGTCATTTATTTCATCACAGTTGTCATTTACCATTGTTTGAATTAATTTGTTGCCATCATCACTGACTATATAGTCAGCATCATTTTGATGTCTGATCAAATGAACTAGTTTTCTGAGTATCAGACACACATGGGTGTATAAATGCTCTTTCTTGATTCTTTCTAGATGGCAGGCTCAGTGTGCAAAGAAAGTCGTGTCCGATAGCCTGGGGCTAGTGGATTTTGCTATCGGGCTAGTGTTTTTTGTTCTTAACTTGCCCGATGGGCAAGTGCTGTTTTTTGGGGAAATTCAAATTACAGAAGGATTGTTATCAATCTGGCCAATCAAAAAGGGTTTTGGGGCTAGTTGAAGTGACTTGTGGGCTAATACATGCCATCTACAGCGTGCCCGAATGGCAGGCTGTAAAACTGATTTTCTTTGCACCCTGCAGGCTTGATGGTGTTTTTATTAGTTATTTTACTACTGGATTGTCATTGATCAAAATGAACATTTGTCAATGTAATTACAAGTCTGATTTCAAGTATTATTATTTTTTCAGATAATTTTTGTTTTCCAGTCTCCACTCAACCCATCAGGAGAGATATCAGAGGGTAAGCACAAATAATTATTATAAACAATTATTGGATGAGGTTTTTGTGATATCCAGAATAATCAAGGTCTAGGTAAGTGTTGTCAGCCAAGCCGAAGGCCGAGGCTGATGACACTTACTGAGACCTTGATTATTTAGGCTATCACAAAAACCGAATCTAATAATATTCAGGGGGTTTATTAAGGTTTTGAACAGGAGGGCAACTGAGTTTAACAACCGGGAAAAGAATTGGCAAGGCCCTCCGGGCCTTGCCTTCTAGGGGGTTCCGGGGACATGCTCCCCGGAAAATTTTGAAATTCTATAGTCGCAGGGATGTGTTTTCCTGCATTTTGAAGAAAGGTTAAAACAACTACTGGAGGCCCTTTAGTTGAAGCCGAAAAATAATCCGCCGCAAACGCGGAATCTGAAGTGCAACATTGATACATTTCAGGTGGTTGTTTATGAAAATAATGCATTGTGCATGCAACGAGAGGATTTCAGATTTAAATAATAGTCGTAAAGTATGTTTTATCTGCTTATCAAGAAAAGCAGGTAACTTAAAACTGTTTTAATCTTGTATTAAAAAGAAGTTCTTTGAGATGTAAAGCAGCCGGGCAAAGTCGTGCGGTCAATTTGCCCGGTGCCCGCCCTTAATGAAATTGAATATTGTTTTTGAAGAAAGGCTGTTAGCCAATGAGAAGACAGATAGTGAGTTATCTGCAATAACTAATAATCATATGATAACAGATTGAGTACAATTTTCATATGATAATAGTTATTTTCTTATGAAAATATTTGATTGTCAGTTATATGCCAGTAGTTACAATGTGGTATGCGGACATTATCTTTATTGTCTTTGTGCCTTTTACACTGTACTCATATTTTCAGCTATGGGAAAACATCTCATGGTCCATGGTGATGGTGTAAAAGATATTGCCTTTGAAGTGGAGGACTGCATTGGTCTTTACAAGGTGCAGTATCTTATTTCTTGTATATAAATCTGTTTTTCTGTGCATGTGTTATTCATGAGTGTCTGCAGTAAATTTGTTTAAAAATTATATAATGATCTGGGGCCCGTTTCTTGAAAGGTCCGGAAACTTTTTGGGTCCGAAGGCAAATTTTGAAATCAAAACCTGTTGAATAGTAGCACAGTTCCTAGCTCATGCAAACCAGCCAATTTTGCTTCTTTAACTGATAGTTTCGTTTTATCATTTTCAAAATTACTGAGACTTTAATCTTGAATGCAAACACGACAGGCAAAAAGCAGCTTTTTGGGCCTGAAAAGTTATCATGGGTTTCGAGACCCCTGGCCCCTGGGAAGTAGACATTTGAGATATCTAAACATTTCTAATGTTATGGTTATAATATTATATGTCTTGACAGCCAAACCTTTCCAATTTTAGGATGAAATCCAAATGTTTCCAAGTTAACAATGACTTTAAAATTTTTGGAATCATTGAGAATTCCTAGGAATTATTCCCATAAATTCTCATTGGTGTGTGTATGAAATCCAGAGACAGTTTCCTTTAAACCTGGAATTATTGGGAATTCCTAGGAATTTCCAAAAATTCCCACTGCTGTTTTCACCTATTCCCAAGACAGTATTCCCAGAAATTCCAAGGTTTTTTATCTTTGCTCATTTGTACGCCTTGGAATAAATTGGAATTCCTAGGAATTCCCAGAACTCTGGGAATTCATTTTGCAAGGGGTGCATGTCATTCAAGGTAGTATTAATTTGGTGTAGACAGGTGCAATTGGGTTTAGTGGGGTGGGGATTGGGGTTTGGGTATCAGAAGCTTTATAAGGAAACTCTTAAATTAAATTTAGGTAAATTAGCTTTCCATAGGGCAGTGTAATAGAAGTTGTGACCAAGTTTTACTTTGTGCGCACAGAATTATTGGTTATGGTGTGATCACTCAAATTGAAACTTTGGCACTGTACACAGATACATGATGGTTTTCTACTTATTTCTCTTTTTAGGCTGCCCTTAAGAGGGGTGCTGTGTCAGTTAAAGAGCCATGGGATGAGACAGATGAAGGGGGCACAGTGACTTTTGCTACTGTCCAGACAGTAAGTACTAATAATAATGCCCATTCTCTTGCTTTGTTAGTGTTAGTTATTTTAACATTGATGAATTAAGTGGAAAAAAATGGAACCTTTGTGGTATCTAACTTTTCAACTTGCTTTTTTCAGCACTTCAAGTCAACTGATCAAATGCAATCCACATATCATATATGAATTAATAAATAAATTTGTTTATAAATTCACTATTTCTGAGTGCTACTGAGGTTGTTGACAATTAAGAAATATATTAATTTGTATTTTAATTTGGGCTATTTTTCCTCTTTACCCTTCTGTAATAAAGTTGACTTAATATGTTTTTTTGTTTATCTGTAGTATGGTGATACAACACACACTTTCGTTGAGCGAAAGGGTTATGATGGTATCTTTTTACCAGGCTACAAACTACCAATGACCAAAGAACGCCATCTTGCTAAACTGTAAGTTCAGTGGGGCTTAAGTTAACCCCCCGATTCATGACTGATGTAATCATGTTAATTAACTCTAATTAATTACTCAACCATTGTGTGTTCAGCTGGGGCATAAAAATGCAATAACATATAACAATTCATATCTGAATACGCCACATAATTTGTTATAAATCATGGGGATAGCTGAGAATGCAAGTTAAATATTTCTTGTGAGGGAGCTAGACAAGTCTTTGAATTGACCGTCTTTAAAATTATTTTTAAATATTTCTGAAACACATGTATTGCAATAAATAATAATTTTATAAAATTTAATTTTTCTCCTAGCCCTGCCTTCCATGTATGATTCAAATGTGTGATGATAGATGAGGGCTATATTTTTTTCTTTCTTGTACTAGGCAACTGTACAACTGTTTAAAAAGTTGCACAGATAACTTTGATGTCATTCTTCAGTTTCTTCAGATGAAATTTTTTATTTTTATTTTTAAATTTTGCTCTTAACAGGCCAGCAGGAAAACTTGCTTTTATTGATCATGTGGTTGGAAACCAACCTGATGATCAGATGGTGTCAATCGCTGAGTGGTGAGTAAAAATCTGCCAGCCAAACACAAACTGGCAGAGCATTTTTGATTGTTTAATTTGCTTTGCACGTATTATACCAGTGAAAATTCAGCTACTGCATGGTAAATAAGTGAATGAATCTTAGCCTGGGTGAGCAAGGGCTCTCAATTTTTTCCTGCATGTGAAATCATTAAGTCACATGGTCTTTGAGTTTGATTGCAAAGAGTAGAAAGTGGGGTTAGTTTGGGTGGGCATTTTACTGTAAAGACTGAAAGAACAAAGCATTTCTCTCCTGCTCTCCTCCCTGTCTCCTTTGACACGTCCATCACATAACCCAAGTAACTTCCAGTGATCAAAAAGAAGAAAGCCTATTCCAGGCAATAAAGGTTTGACATACCTTCCTGAGTTTTCAAAAAAATAATGCCAAGCTTCTTTCAAGCTTGGACCTGAGCAACATTAATTTTTCCCCAGTGATTAATTTTTATTTGGCTCACTTCAAAAGAGCTAACGCTTTTACAAGAAATCCTTTTAATATTACCTAAGTGTGAATTATGAGAGGGTAAAACTAATTGCCAGTAACCTAAACCCCAACCTTGCTGTGGCTCCTCCCCAAATTACAAAGGAGAGAGCCAACTTGAGAAGAGCCATGACTTTTTTAATTGGACTTCCCTGGTTTCTTTAAGGTAAAACTAAACTGGCATTTATGACTTTGCCTCCTTGTATGCCAGTGCCTTAAAATTTATTACATTTTGATATCTGCTTTAAATTAAAGGTATGAAAGAAACTTGCAGTTTCACAGGTTTTGGTCTGTGGATGACAAGCAGGTACTTTTTCAAAGAGCTAAACTCTTTAATTTTGAAAGTACTGTAGTCTATTCTTCACCTACTCCCCTTCCTGCTACCCCCCTCCATCCCATAGCTGCACCCATGATCAAGTGAGTGACCTCTTTTTCCAGCATTGAATTTTTGGAAGGTTAATAAGATTATTCCATGTATATAACTTTCAGAATCAAAGAGTTTCAAACAAATGTTAGAAGTATATGTAAGAAGCAGTAATAATCTTCCCACTCCATCATTTTGTCGGAGACGCCAAAATTGGGAGTGTAAATCACCCCTAAACTGTTGCATGAAACTGCTGAAGTTGATGAGACAGAATAATGTTTTTTAATTATCATATAACAAGCAGGGGACAAGAACTAGAAAAAAAACAGGATTGTTTAGTAATGTTTTACAATATGTACCAAATCATTAATTCTATTTAAGTTTATAAACATTTATGTGACCGTGGTGAAGGGGGAGGGAATGGCATGTACGAGACATTTCTGCAGGGGTTGTGAGCTCACTATTTGCAAGTATTTAATATTCCCATTACCCTCCGTCATAATATAATATTCTAGATTCACACAGAATACAGTGCTCTAAGGTCAATTGTGGTAACAAACTGGGAGGAAACAATCAAGATGCCAATAAATGAACCAGCTCCTGGCAAAAGGAAAAGCCAAATACAGGTAAGATTACAAGGGTGTTTCATGCTCATGCAGGTACTCATTAGTTTTATTGATTGTTCGCTTGTGTTTTTTTATTATTAGTTTTAAATTGTGTGTTTTGTCTAGTAATATTGCCTACTTGCATAAGGCTACATAACACTGGGCGTTCACTATCTAAGCTTGGATAAGATGATTAAAACCCCATCCTAACGTTTCAAAACAGTTTTATGCTGCTGAATATTTGCACACTTAACCCCAATTTAAAAAATCCAGAGTAATATTATTATTGATTTGCACTTTTGGATGTATTTCAGGAGTATGTAGACTACTATGGAAGTGCAGGAGTGCAGCATATTGCTCTCAACACATCTGATATCATCAGTTCTGTAAGTCACTAGAATCTAAACCCAAAAGCCCAGCTCTGAGCCAGTCATGTAAATCCTAATTCTTGACACATCTGATGTTACCGAGTTCTGATTTCTCTGACGTACTACCTTCGAATTCTTTCAAATAGGGTCGGAAAATACAACTTTTTTGTCATAATTTACGCAGAAAGAGAATTTGATCCAGGAAGTGAAGGTGGGTTGGGGGGGGGGGAAGGGTCTCGGGGAAAGTTCTAGCTGAAAAGTTTGAAAGAAAGGTGCACGGGAAGGATTTTCCTGCTATTTTAGTTGAATATACCTGATATACATTTGTGAAGAAGTTATCGGGAAAAATGTCAACTGGTGGATAAAAAGTGTGCAGCCGTACAAATATTGTTTTGAGACAGATAGACGTCAACTCTCAGCAAATCGGTTCGACTTCACTTTATAACTACAAACTTCGAAATTCCCTTGCATTGGTTATTAAAAAAAGCCTACCTTCGAAAGAGGATAACTTGTTGTCACTCATGATCAACGCGCTGTGTTTCACTTCGTTCCGCTATGGCTGCTACCTGCAGTGCATGTAGAGAATGGAAACGTTTAAGAGCTTAAAATTGTAACATTAACTCCGCTTTTAAGATTAAGCTTAAATTGACAAGGTCAAGCGGGAGATGAGATGCCGGGCACTGAAGCAAGATGACCATAAACTTTTACCGTTTATAGTCCACGCTTACTTTGGCGGATTACCTCGGGCTTTTACAAAAGAGTTACGTTTTTCTTTTCCGAATAATTCTCGAAAATAGATGCTTACCTCCTGACTTGACTTTACGAATCTCTTCGTGTAGACCGTCTTGTAACTATATTAATCTTAAATGCGAATTTTTTCAAAAAAAACTGGAAAGTTTCTCTGAAGTATGAAGGATGTCTTGCTGGCAAACGTTGGATTGCCTTCCGGCAATCCGGCTGGCTTCCCGCCATCTGTTTTCCCGCCTTTTTCCTACCGCTGTTCATCGTATCACCTGGTTCAGTTTTGGTGGGAAACCCGGCGTGGAAAACCACTCCCTGCTTGTTCATGAAAAAATGTTTTAAAGATATAAATGAGAAACAGTTACATGATTTTGGTAGATCGTGTTATTTTTTAAAATCATCGCTTATAATTACCTTAATAGAATTTGTTTTGCGGTTTTACGTTTTTTGCACTTTTTTTTTACGTTGGAGGACCTTGGAGAAACATTGCCAAGACCACCTAGTTGAGTATAAGTAATTGGTAGAGTTGAGGAGCTAAAGAACGGTTTTACAAACAATACCGAATTTCCTTATTGGCTTTGTTATCGCTAAAACGAAGCGAAAACTTGAGACAAAAACGTTTTTGTCAATGTTCTTATCTGGGGTCCCAGTCGGGATCATAATGTCCATAATAGCCTCAACTGCGTCTGCCAACAGTCTTCAGTGCTTTACCAAACAAAAACCTCTTTTGACGCTCTTGGTTCTCAAGGTTGGGTATTACTGGTACAGTCAAATCCCGTTAATACGGATACTGAGGGGACCATAGAAAGTGTCCGTATTAACCGGGTTGAATTTAGAGAAATGTTAGGGCTTTCTTTCCCCAGGGGCAAAACAAACTGTCCGTAGTAATGAGGTATCACGTATCATGCGGGGTATTGCCTTAACATGTACTCAGTTTCTTTTCTTTTTTGTCCGTAGGTAAGAAATTTGAAGGAAAGAGGGATGGATTTTCTCGTTATCCCTGACACATATTATGATAACCTTCGCGCACGACTAAAAGATGCCCCCATTACTGTAAAGGAAGACTTGACTGTGGTGAGTTATCTTGGCAGAGAAAATTGTGCCGAAACTATAATAATCTTATAATAATCGTTCCTAAGTCAGAATGGGTCCTGACGTTATGTTCATTTTCTTTGTTTTGTTATTATTATTAATTTTTTTTTTGGGGGGGGGGGGGGGGGGGGGTGGGGTTTGTTGGGGCAAAGTAGGGGGTCGAGGGGCAGATATTCATTCTAATTCCGAAGTTAGTGTAACTAGAGAGAATAGAGAGTTTAAGAGAGTTTGAGAATTTCTCAAAATAGAAAATGAGCAGATAAAAACAGCTCAGAAAATTCATATGGATAAAAAATTGCGTGAAACTACTAATTTATTTGTAGAAATAATGAACAGTGGGCGACTAGCAGAGGGAAACCTTGTCACGTGGTACAAATTCGCGTTTGCCGTTTGACGTAAACGTGATGCTTATCCTCCACGTTTGTGTCAAACGGCAAACGCGAGTTTGTACCACGTGATCAGGTTTCCCTTTACTTGACGTTTACTACTCATTGTAACTACACGGAAATAAGAGGATTCATGCCAGTTTTATCCATAAGAATTGTTCTGAGCTGTTTTATCCACTAATTTTCTATCTTTAGAATTTCTTAGCTTGAATCTGACGTTTGCCATTTGCCGTAAACCTGAGACTTATTGTGATTAAATTCAGTCTGTTGGTTTGCTGGCTCTACTTTAATGCGTGTATTTTCTCTGCAGCTACAGGAGCTTAAGATTTTGGTGGACTTTGATGACAAAGGGTATTTGCTGCAAATCTTTACTAAACCAATGCAGGACAGGCCTACTCTGTTTTTGGAAGTTATTCAAAGGCATAATCACCAGGTGGGTATGTTGATGATAAAGTCTCTGTGGCTGTTCTCTTAAGAGGAGGCTACAGTGCAAGGCCCAGGCAACACGGCGTACCCTGAGCCTCATAGCAAGCGTTTTAGAGTAAATGAAAAGAGAACGCATTATCCGTTAAGGCGGATAATGCGTCTGTGGCCGTTTTTATACTAAGGACGCATTATCCGTCTGAATGAACTTGGGCAAACATTTGTAGGTCGTATGGTTATGCGTTTCAAGTATAAAGACGGGCACAAGACGCATTATGCGGCCGTCTGGTTGAACTTTCCTTCGAAGTACATCTTGAACGACGCACTACGAAAGGTAGTTCGTCGGGATGCATAATGCGTCTTGTGCTCGTCTTTATAGTAGAGACGCATAGCTAGAGGAACTACAAAATGTTTGCCCAAGTTCGTCCAGACGGATAATGCGTCCTTAGTATAAAAACGGCCAGTATATGTATATATCGAGCCTGCGAGCAAGCTCTCCCTTTGGGAATCGCGACAGGCGAAAGATCATGCGCGGTCTCCTCTCCTACCCCAGTCTTTCACAGCTCGATCTTGGCAAATAACCTTTGACTCGCATGAGTCCCAGTGAGATCTCAGTGGTGGATCTTAGGGAGGGATCCGGGGGCCCACTTTATTTTAAGTTCAAACTGAGGCCCTCAGGTCTAAGAAAATTTTTCTTCGAGGCCGCCTGCCCCTCCTATCTTGGGGACTTCCACTAATTTAAACACGTGAATCAGCCTCTGTACGTTACTTCAGTTTGCAGGCTACTGATGTTTCTGTAGTAAGCACTTGTTGACTTTTTTCAATACACAGTGCAGTCTACTCTCCTCGCAGACACCCCGATAATACGGACAGCGGCTATATCCCCGGCAAAAATAAGTGACAGACGTTTGACTCAAATAAAGTCCCGCTATTACGGACTCTCGCTAATGAGGACACTAACTCGAGGTCTCTACGGTGTTTTTACAGAGTCCGAGAGTTGACCTTACAGAGCCGAGAGTTGACTGTATATACCTTACCTATTTGTTTATAGCTCTGTCTCTTTTCTCTCAGGGTTTTGGAGCTGGTAATTTTAAGTCACTCTTTGAAGCAATAGAGCAAGACCAGGCTCAGAGAGGAAACCTTTACTGATTTTGTACTCCATTTATGCGACATATTCACAAACGTTAATGTAATCGAGCTCGCGCGAAACATCGTGGATGATGGTAACTTTCCTACTAATTTAAGAGAAGCGTGGCCAAGTAATTATTAGATAAGAAAGCGCCACAATTGTTTAAGCAATTGCCCTTTTAGTTCATAAACGTTAAACGCAATGGGTTTGAGCTAAATGCCAATCTCATGGTGGCAAAAACAGTAGTTGGCCTGCGATCATACGGATGAGCGAGGTAAACCACGCAAGTTGGTGGACCGTGACTCGTGATTCGTCAACTTGGGTGTAAGATTCTCTATGAAATAAGTTTGGCCATTGTTTATAAATTATTTGCGGCACGGTATATCTTCAGTGACAGCTTTCGTTATATTTTTTTTAAAGGCATATCGTTTTAGGGTTCGACCATTTATAAGGTGGCATAAAATGTAAAAGCCAAGCTTTTTAAAGTTGAGGTAAAATATTTAAAGTTTCAAGATTTGTGTATTTTCAACAAATAATCAGCTATATTTATAAATGTAAACGCGACTGTCCAGACTGTCAATAAACTGTTTTGGATCAATTTAGGTTTCTGGGAAACTGCCCACCTACCCCTCCCCTGCCAACATTATCACTTACTTCTCACTTAGGGCAAAATGTTGGCTTAGGGGAGGGGTAGGTGGTCAGTTTCCCCGGAATCCTAAATTGATCCACTGTTTATACATTCCCAAACTTCTTTAAGTCGTCATTTTCCCCCTTCTAGGACTCTAACTCCTGTATGCTAACTGACACCTTACTGTCGGTTTTTTTTTTACTTTCAGTTTATTTGCGAAGTAGAACCGGAAATTCTGTTTGGAAAATCAAATGGTTGGCACCCTTCCGTTTGGGAAGCCTCAGAAATCAAATTATGGGCTGGGATTTGAGGGGATGCAATAAGCTATTTCCGAGTTCCCAAAACTCTCTTTCAAAACGAGGCTAGGTGCAAAACCTTCCTCTAGTGTACAGCGGTTTACCATTACTTTCATCTGGGGACTTGCATCCGGGTTGATTAAAAGTGAGAGCGCGCGCAAAGAGTGTTGTTACTGAGTGTTAGGCAGCTATGAATAAACCGTTTGCATCGTCTATATTACACTTCTTTGTGAAAGTGAGTTTTATTTGCATGAGTTTTATTTGCACTTAGCCTCGCTTTGAAACAGAGGCTTGAGGCAACTCGGAAAAGGCCTGTTTTTCTACTCTTTTCGGGGAAGTCTGTTCAGCTGTTTTGGATATACTTTGTTGCGGGTCGTTTCCTAGACTACGAGTACTTCCCATTTTTCCTCAGGGATAGTAGAGCGAGCGAAACGCGAGCGCGCGTGAAAATCACCTTACGCGAGAAAGGCGAGACGCGGCGGTGAGACAGAAAAATGCGCGCTCGCGTTTCGCTCGCTCTACTATCCCTGAGGAAAAATGGGGATTACTCGTAGTTTATTCGTTTCCCATCGCGTCAAATTTTTTTGTTTTATGTGTATGGGTCTTTATGCACAAGATTTCCACCCGGCTGGTTTGTGTATGGTAAGCACTCCAGACCAAGGGAAAGTATAGCTGGAGGTATGTGCCACCCCAAAGGGTATGGTTATTGCGCCGATTTGGTCTGAAAACGGGTATAGACTGCCCATTTTTGGTCTGGAATCGGGTGCGGTTTTCGTGGGAATTACGGAAGTGTTTGAACGTATTTGTCGTTTCAATTCCAGATGAAAAAGAAAAAAAGATTCTAATCTAAGTAATGATGACATAATTTCTGCTTATGTAGGCCTGAAAACGGGTGTAGGTTTTAGAGGCCAGGTCTGACAACGGGTGTGGATAATGGCATTTTTTGGTCTGAAGTAGGTCAGGATTTGGGAAACCGGGCGACACACCCTCACCAAGAATTCCTAGCAGTAACCCCCTCCCCCCCCCTCCGCTAGGACCTGGAACAGGCTAGGGATAGTAAGACAAGTCCAAAGAAGAGATCTGGGTACCAGATTAAAAAACGCACGATTCTTTAAATTTCACGTTGTTTTCAAGGAATAGCTCCACCAGTCAGCGCGCGAAGGCATGCGTTCATATGGACTTAATACGCTTTTTGATGTTCCCTGAAAATCTTATGAGTAGAAAGTATCTCCCTCCCGGCTTGTACACAGACTAGTGAAATCCACTTATTATAGTGAAATCTAGAAAACTGGCGGCAACAACACATTTCATTTCACTTTTTATATTACTGCTCGGCGGTCTGGTCTAATACTTCAGACAGAAATATCTATAAATTGCAAAACGTACAGAACTTTGCCGCTCGGATAATTAGTGGAGCAGAAGCTAAGGCAAATACTGTTACAGAAATTTCTTGATCCCGCGAGCATTTTGTAGGTTTTAACATTGTACCATTGAAACATAGGTAATTGTTTTTCCTCTTTTTTAGGTAGTAAGTAGATATAAACCGTAAAATTCCGAAAATAAGCCCCTCCATGTATAAGCCCCCCAAACTCGTAACGCAAACTGAAACCCTCCGTTAAATCGCCCCTCCGAATATAAGCCCCCGGGGGCTTGTACTTGGAAATTACCCTCAAATACAAAGTAAAACAAAGCAATAACGGTACATTAGGGTTCACAAGGCAAGGCATTAGGGTTCCAAACAGGCCAAAACAGCGAGTAGTGCCGAACACTTTTTGACGGAAGTTTCGCCCGATCATGGTAGAATAAATGTTGGCTATACGTAAAAATACATTTTTGGAATGAGAATTTTGTCCTGTAATAACAACAACAACAAGTTTATCCAGATAATAATAATATTCAGATAGTAATAATATGTAGCCTGCTAGTGGTTCAAGAAAGGAATGCTCTTGATTTGGAGTTTGTATTAAATATGTTTTACATCTCACATTTTCCAGGTTGTCATGTATAAAATGTAAAGTAGAAATTTCAGTGGTTAGGCCTGGCATTTGAGTACATAATATAAACTTAAATATTATACAGCAGATGTAATACCCTGGGTAACAGAGGTTTTTCTCGCGTGCGGCGGGAATTTTGGGTGTGGCCGAAGGCCGAAGCCACGAGCGGCGAAGCCGTCACTATAAAGACTTGACAGAAACCGGAAACCGCGCTAGAAACGTGGCACCCAGGGTACAGATGTAATTAGCCTGTTCCAGGCTCCGAGATGATGGTGGAAAGTCGTTCAGTAATAAGAAATGCGAAAAACGCGCGGGGGCTGGGGAGAGACAAGTCGTGCGCGTCTTATTTTCGCTTTGCTCCTTTTTATACGTTCCCACTATACTATCTGAGAGCCTGGCACAGGCTAAGATGTAATGAATGCAGGCTACATACACAGATGGAACACAGATGGGGATTAGGTTTATAAATGGATTTGGTTTATAAGTGTTGCCATAAAAATACTTTGACCACTCATATCACTGGATTGCATGAAAGATGATCCTTTTTGCCTCCATCCCTTTTTGCGCACGACTGAGAAACTCAGTTATTAGGGTAGATTTTGACTGTCGCGTAATTTTTACTTGCTTACGCGCATTTTATTTTAGTGCATAAATAAAACAGAGGCAATGTATAAAAGGCCGTGCGTTGCGCTCAACTTTTACGTTTACGCGCGATCTTCTGTACGTTGCCTCTATCTTATTAGATTTATTAGCGCACGTAAAATTTAGTAGAGTGTTTTCACATGACGTCACGGCGGCCATATTGGTGTCCCGAAACAATGAAACGGCGGCCATGTTGGTATCCCAAACCAGTCCTCTGGAAGTTTAACTCTTTTTTTATGCAAACGCTTTCTTTTGTTCCAATAAATTTGCATATATGCTGGCCACGTGAGTGAAAACACTATAGAAAACCCAACTATGTACACCTTTAATGCAAAATGATGGCTTAGGGGACGGGTAGGTGGGCAGTTTCCCAGAAAGGGAAAAATAGTTAAATCTTAGCCTGTGTGCGGCCGTTCCTTTCCTGTTTGTACGCACTCTAGAGGCAACCCACAGTGAATTTCTTAGAGAATACAAAATAAAAGTGGATGGTCAGCTCCGCGGATACAATCACTCTTGTTTCAGCTTCTCTAAAAAGGCTACCTCCTTACTCAACGACCCCTTTTCTCTAGCTCTTACCTCAATGTTTCCGTTGAGGACCGTTCGAAATGCTGTACATGTAGTTTACAGCAAAGTCCGGCGTCGTCCAGGGGCCCGTTTCTCGAAGCTCCCGGTAATTACCGGGCCCGTTAAGCTGTTTTGTTTTCCATTTTAGAAGGGAGTTTTAGAAGTTTTGAAAATTATACAGTAGAGTTATTAGCTAACGAAACAAAATGGACTTCATTAGAGGACAGAACACACCCTACTTTTCTTGAGACTTTGATTCAAAAATATGATTCCGGGCCCGTTAAGTTACCGGGACTTTCGAGAAACGGGCCCCAGGTTCGCGGGTAGATCCGTCCGCCAGTGGAGCCGATCCAGTCCACTTCATCGTTTTCCCGGTTATTCAACGTCGTTCTGCTAAGATGATCACATGACACATGCCGCTTTTGTTTTATAGGAAAGTGCCGTGACCATCACCATGTTCATAAAGACGACACAACTGTGAAATCAACGTCTGGAAAATTGTTCTCTCCTCATTAAGTTGAGGAATCAAGAGGAAATTATTTCGGCAGATCTCAAAGTTATCTAAACGTGAGGTAATTTTACAGTTTCAGGTTAGTTTCCGATATGAAGTTGAAATACCGGCGACCGGCGAGATGCCAAGACGTTATCAATTTTAGCTTATTATAAATTGATAATTTGTTGAACACTTTCGTTTCATCTTTTTAACCTTTTTTATTTCAGTATTTTATTCTAAAAGTGTGCGACAAAACTGTTCATCGGTTTATAGTAGAAAGCCGTGGTGGGAGACTGTTCCATTCAATGTTCCGATAATTTTTTATTCTACTTCTGGTTCCCCCACACCGTTTTGCTTCATAACAAGAAATTTGACGGGCAAATTGAAAATTCGTAATATTTTTAAGATTACTGGATTTTTTCGAAAGATTTGAAATGAATGATGTTCAAAACACGCCCCTGGTACTCTTGCTGTTCGTCATCGATTAAAATAGGTTCAGATGTTCCAGTAAAAATACACTCCTGTCTCTACCTGCTCCTGTCTGATCTATTGACCTTTACACTGCAGCCAGTTCTAATTAAAGACAAGCTCTCCGAGTTAAGTAAAGGTTCCCAAACTGTCTAAAACAGTGATAGACTGAAGATTACCAAACACTTTTGAAGGCTTTCTCGCGCTATCTATTCTATTTTGCCCTTTGAATCGAAAGACGTCAATCTTACTAAAAGTTATTGATAGATGTTGCAGTTAATCTGTTATCTCAGGTAATTTTTGCTTTTCTTTTGTTTTTGGTCATGGCTAATGAAGTTGAAACAAAGGAAAAATAAAAATTACGTGAGATAAAAATTAACTACAACATAGATATTGCGATGGAGGAAGGACACAAGTCGTGTAAGCTATATTGAAATACAGATAAGCACAGTGTGTGTTAGTATTTTGAGAGTTCTTTACTTGTATAATATTCAACAGAAACTGTTGTAATTATTTTTTCAAAAGATTTTCTTTGTCCAGCCATTTGATTTTATGAACGTTTTAGATATTAAATTACAAATAATATCTACCCCGTTAGTCCTATAAAACTGACAGCCATCACAAATTTAGGACAGGTGGGAGTTAGGTTAATGTACTCATTAGCATATAGCCTTCCTGTAGATGTCTACTATTTACGGAAACGTCTGCGGAGACATCTACCAGCTAGGCAGGCTATTAGCATACCATAGTTTCTCAATGAAACACTGGACCTTTAATAAGTGGTAGGTCTTAAAGGGAAAGCTGTGAATAACCCTGAATTTCATCAAGAAGTTAAACTTCAAGTTTTGAGTCAGCAGTTGCTTACAAGAACTTTTAAACAAAGGAAAGACAAGCCGGTAATTCACAAAAGTGGTTGAGGTCACGCACCAGAGTAGAAGTTTACGAGAGCTTTTCGTTTTAAACAGCCTTGATCAGAGGGTTTCGTAGCGAGCACTGGCTTCTTATCAGTGTGTTCAAAAGGAAAGCATACAGTGTAGACTGTATTACGATTATTCCATTGGATATATTTTTATAGGGCTTAGGCAGACACAAGTAAAAAACTCAAATTTGGATCACTTCATTTGCATACTTATCAGACAATAAAACTCATTGTTTTATCTATTCATAGATTAGTTGATTGAGTCTGTGTTTTGTACCTGCCCCATATCTAAAGACATAAAGATTTTGTGAAGAGTATAAAGTATTGTCTGACCACTAGTTTCTTTCATATTGCAGGACCTGAGTTCACATCTTAGTCTAGCCAATTGTCAGTTCATCACACCACCATGAATCTCTATTCCAAGTACTTGGAGATTGCTCCTTCATTTCTTTATGGTCTGTTATGCTTCTCTGCCATCTTAGTGTGGACGTTGTTCGCGATTCTGACTCTACCCTTGTGGTTTCTGTTCAGAATGTTTAAATGGTTCCAAGGAGTCATCATTTCCTATTATAAACTGGGAAGAATTCTGGCAAGTAGTGATGTACCATTCGTACATGAGACTGAGAATAATCGTAACTATATCAATGGCTTGTTTGTGATGGAGGGGGAAATTGACTTGGATGAGCTTCGCAAACTCATCATCTCCCGTGTGGTCCAAAACAGTGAGGAACCTAGCTACGTTCGCATGCGTAAACGCGTCGTCAAACAATACTGGCGCTATGTTTGGGTAGATGAACAGGATTTTGACATTAAGAAGCACGTGTTTAAATACGATGGTAATGCTCCACGTAGTGAAGATGAACTACAGCAAACGTTAAGTGAACAGTTCTCATCAGCGATGAGTGACGATATCTCACCTTGGGAGATTATAGTGACGCCTATGGACATGCCAGGAAAGGATCAAACAGCCATTTGTATGAGAATTCACCATACTATAGGAGATGCCTTCGCCTTGATTGGCCTTTTTAGCAGGCTGATGGATAAGAAGCCAGAACTGCTGCGCGTCAAAAAACCTGTGGCTACCCCTTGTGACAAACAGAAACAGGTAAGCTTGAAGTCAAACTGGAGGGCACCTTGGGTGGGGCATGAGTTATCATCTGTGCTTGGTTGTGTGAAACATGTACATGTAGGGGCATGCTCTACCGGCACCATCATGAAATTTTCTAAAAAGTGAAGTCCCACCATGTAACCACCAGTACCAGTACCAAACACCAGAAAGGTTGAATCATATTTAAGAAAATATGCAACTTGCAGCCATTGTGAGATACCCTTTAAACTTTCCAGAAAGAAAAAGGAGAGGAAATGCCTGAGAAGTCCATCCAGTGTTTTACACGGTAAAGACATCCACGGTTCTCTTGTTGAACAGTAATATTATTTTTGTAACCTATTTTTTTTTTCTTTATAGTGTTGGAAGGCTATTTTATCAGCTCCATTGGCTCTTTTGAGTGTAGCGCTATCCACTGCAGACAATCCCTTTCCCACCAAAAAGTTGTCAGGTGAAAAGCGATTCAGCTGGACAAAACCAATTGACCTTGAGCTTGTTAAGGAAATCAAGACTAAAACAGGTAATAACAAGGAAAATATTAATCTTTCTCCAAGGAGCTTTCAAGTGTCACTATTATAATCAAACTAATCATTAATCAATTGATTTATTAATCATATAAATCACTCCCATTATTTCACTAAAAACCATCCCCTTTGTGCTGAGGGTGTTGCGTCAGCTGTTCATTACAAACACTTGCTTATGTCCTCTCCCCAGGCACGACTGTGAACGACGTCCTATCCACATGCTTGGCTGGGTCATTACGCCGTTACCTTAGCTCTGAGGGAATTAAGGAAAATCCTACGGATATCCAGATCGCCGTCACTATCAACACTCGCCCTCTCAAGGTCTTGTCAAAAGAAAACATCCCCCTGGAAAATCATTCGACTGGCTTGCTGTATAGCCTTCCTGTGAGCATGGTGGATCCATTGAAACGTCTCATGGAAACCAAGCGAAGAATGGACAACTTAAAATCCTCTTCGGACTGGCGTATCTTTGGGTTTATTTATTCACACATAGTTGGTCGCTTGCCTGAGTCCATTGGTCGGTTTTCATCCTTCTCACTCAAAAGACACTGCTCTCTGATCCTTAGCAATGTTCCTGGGCCCCTGACACCATTTGAAATCAATGGCAAAGAAGTAGTTACTGCAATAGCGTGGCCCCCATTAATCAGTGATACTGGAGTGGCTATTGCAGTGTTTAGCTATGCGGGTGCTTTGCGCATGAGTGTTTTGTGCGACAAAGCTGTGCTTTCAAACCCGGCTAAGCTGACAGAAAAATTTGTGGAGGAGTTTGATGAGATTTACAAGTGCGTGAAAAATGGGCCTGTATTAGCGACTGCCGAGTCTGCTGCCAAAAGGAAGTACTTTTAGCCAGTGAAGAACTATTATACACTTGTAGTGAGTTTATCAATAGTTTTACTTAAAGCTTCTGTCCCTGGATTTTCTTAACAACAACCTTCTGTTTATTATGCAACAATTCTTGAGACATTAGGTGGCTAATTAGAATGCTTTATGGGACATTAGAGTGCTGAGCTTAAAATGGCTCTGAAATCCAGGTTGTGGTCTTTAATTAGCAAGGGCATTATTAGTTTGGAGTACGTAGATAAACTTAGATTTTTAGTTTAGATCGTAGTTTAATGTTTGTTTGTCATTTGTTTAGTGTGAAGAGGTGCACATCTGAGCTTTGTCCTCTCAAGCATATCACTGTCATTATTCATTAATAATATTGTTGTCCATCACAGAATGACTTTCAAGAAATGTACAGATGTATGCTATCCTTAGTGAAACCTTGTACATATATCTACCTTGAATAAGTAATAATTATGGGTATGCCCTGCCTGATGCCCAAAGATTTGCTTTGTAGACTTGACAACAGAGCGATGAGGCAGACTGGTCCTTTATCCTTTAAAGTGATGAACATCAATTTTCTCCCAATATCAGTTCATAATCAAGAGAGTGTTGTGTGAGAATTAATGAAAATGATCACAGAAGGGAAAATGTTTAATTCTCTTATCCCTTTCTTGAATTTATATGTGGATATTGGGGCTTTAAGTGTTAATCAAGTAAATACTGTATGTTGATTAGTTATGCTACTGTAGGATACTTGATCCCTTGCTTACACAGCTTCATCTGAAAAGCAACTCTTACTTTTTTTTGTTCTTGTGTGGTAAGTGCAGTAGCATGTGTTTACCATGTGTTGAATCAATGAATGTAGCCTGTGTTGAAGCCAGCCCATGTATTGTTAGAACCACTGGTATATACAGGAGGTATAGAGAGTCTGCGATGCAGGCTGCAATGAATGTTAAATAGCAAAAATGACCCATTTTTGACATTTGAAGAGCAGGCCTCTTTTGTGCTTGAGCTCTTGACCAACCCTGAAGGTATGGTTCAAGTGAGAACTTTAAAGCAAATTGTGCCCTGGTGAAAAATATGCAACTAAACGATAGAAAAATACCTTTTGGAGTTTGGACAGTAACCAAAACCCAAAGAAAACCATGCAGGCATGGAAATAGAGACGGCTCACCAGTAAGTGGTCGCGATAAATGTCTCAGGTTGGCCTGAGTCTTGCGGAAAAGAAAGGAGCTTGCATGATTTAAAGATAATTCTGTGTGTGGTAATCAGAAGATGAATATAGTAATCCAGCCAAATCTGATTATTCTTTTTCTTAATATGTAACAAATTGAGGATGGCAAAAAGGAAAGTTCTCAGGAATTTTTAAAGATATAAATTAGTACCAAATGTATTTAATTTATTATATTATGTTATTTTGACACCATAATTATTGTGATCGCATGTTTATTTATTTACTTTAGAAATGGCAAATGTTTGACAAATGAATTTTTCAAGGGATGTGGAAAAGAAATTCAGTTTACCTTATCTACAGAAAATATTATTTATATTATGACCATTATGGCATTTTGGGCATCGAAGCGTCCGTCAAAGAAAGTCAGTTTTTCCTCTACCTACAGTATAACAATGATGGATGGAAATGAGGAGGTAAAACTGTGATTAGCCTGTGTAGCTGGTGGGAACGTTCAGTCGAGGAAAGTTTTGGAAGAAAATGCTGCAATTAGACGTCGGAGAATGGGGAAGAGATTTCACCAAAACTCTCACACACAAAAACAATTCTGCCAGCTAGGCAGGCTAGTTTATGATTTCTTAACCACATCTTCAACAAAATATTATTGTTGTATATGACTGGCTGCTAGCTGTAGCCTTGATTAAAGTCATTTAGAGCATTACACAATGTATATTAGTACACTTGGAGTCCAAGTTATTTGAAAGTACATATCATTACATGCCTTGATGCGACTTCACACTGATTTGGACTCCAATAAGTTTCTTGGTTTTATTTTTTGTAGTGCTTGTCATGGTAGTTAAGCAGGATTGAATACTTAATAGTGTCTGATTGAGTGTCTTAACACTTTTTTTGATAATTACTTTGGAATAGGGATATTGAGAGTTCGTAGAGTCTTTGTGGGGTCCAGATCATACTCACAATTACTAAAGTGACTGAATTCCTTACAATTATTGCTTGTATGATTGAGGAACAAGAGCATAAGATCCAAGCACTGCACATTCCAGAGTTACACCCTTTTGTTGTTGTTTGTCAGATACACCTAAGTGGACTTATGTCACAAAGGTACTGTTTCTTCCCTGATCATATTCAAGCTTGTCACAGTATCCAAGGCAGGTTCCTTTGACACTGAACCGTTACTAAGTGACAGCAGAATTACATTGGTGAAGGAATTATAGTGAAGCTTGTATCTGACTTAATGTCATCTTATCAGACTGCTTTGTCAGTTGGTATCAAAACCTCCTTGAGTCTTGTTGATCATGACCTAAGGAGCTGGGAAATTAATGTGAATAAGGGGTAAGGGGTAAGTAGTGCCCATCTTGTTTAATGACTTTGCAGTCGGAATAAGAGAAAAGATAAAAGATAATCAACTCTGTCACTATCCGTTAACATGCCCTCTCAAGGGATAGTAGTAGTGTTACACGTGTAAGGCAAGTTACTATTTATAATATTATATCTACCGTGACAACTGATGGTGCTTGTAAATGTTAAACTTGTTAATTAATAAAGGTGATTTTCGCGAAAGGGTTGATCTGAGATTTGTTCAAGTTTATATCCCCAGTCTTGCTTTCAAAAATCACACTCCAGATTTCCTGACCTTGCATTTCCTCTGTTTGCGCAGTCCTAAATGCCGCACTAAGATTACATATAGATTCCACTTTCCTTAACGTCGTCTTAGTTATCTTAGATCTTTTATAAAGCAATGTACCTGATATGCCCCCACGGACGTTTATTTCAAAAGATTAGGGAGCTTAAGGTGATTTTACACGGGACGATTCGCAACAACGATTTTTAACGCAACACAGCTTTGCAACATTGTTGCGAAATTGATTTAAATGGTTGCAACATTGTTCCAACATTGCAACGCTGTGTTGCGCAAAAAATCGTCGTTGCGAATCGTCCCATGTAACATCACTTCAAGCAACGACGGCAGCGAAAACTTCACCCAAAAATAGGATTCGCGCTGTTTCATAGCTCTTATTTTAACTCTTTTAATTTGTCAAATGTTGACGATTTTTCAGGAGTTGAATTCTAAAGGACTGTCTCTAAGTTCACAAAAAGAAAAAGAAAATCTTTGTCTCGGTCTTGTGTTCACGGCCTCCATAAAACGTTAAATTAGGAAGTCGTGCAGTGACGGCAGAGAAATGTACAAAAAGGCGTGATGCACGTGCAAAGTTGTTGTTTTGCCTATGAAATCTATTGCTTTATTGCCGTTCTCGTTGCCGTCGCCGTTCACGTAGTAGTCACACGTTCGTAGCATGACTGGACATGGCAGCGAAGGATGAGGGAATTTTAGATTGGGGTGGGGGGGGGGGGGTCCAAACTTACGTCATCGACCGAGTTGTCGCCATCATTGTCGACCTGTTGAGAAAGCAGAGACGACCACGTGTTCCTCAATCTGTGAACGCCGCCCGGGGGTTGGGGGGTTGGGTTACTTCCTTATAAGAGGCTAATGGAGATGTGCCACCGGATGGGGTCGCATTTTCACGACTGGATTGACTATAATGGGGTCGCATTTTAGTCTAGTGGGGTCGCACATTTTTTATGGGTAAGACAGTTCTTCATATTTACGGGTAACAAACGTACCAGAATATTTGTACTGCAGATGAAAAGTAAAGTGTTCTTCATTCAATCTAAAAATGGGTCAATTCATAAATAAAAATAGAAAGTGACTAAGTTGGGATCGCGAAAGTCACATGAGTTTCCCCAAAAGTGACTAAGATGGGGTCTATAGTTGGCCACAGAAAAGATGATAATGGGGTAGGGGCTCTGTAAAACCAGCGGCACATACCCAGCAAAAATTAACCCAAGTAGCCCCTTCCCCCCGCCACGGAACGCCGGTCGCTGTTGGCACTGCTTTGCGAGCAGAGGCGAACAGATCATAGGAGAGTACCCAAAAACAATTACATTTTTTATTATCCCTGGGAATTTCGTTTAGTGGTAAAATGCAACGCGCGTTTCATTAAAAAAAAGTCAGCCAGTTAAAAAGTGAAATACGGGCCCGTCGATAAAGAATAGCCAGGTCTGATCCAGGATAAGGGCCCGGGGGATCAGCCCCCCTCCCCCCCTCCTGGATCCCGGTTCTGGAAGAATAAGTACGATCAATCGAAAATACCTTAGGGCATGCAGTAATTGATTAAGGTCCTGAAAAAGGTTTAATTTAGGTTTTTTTAATAGGAAAATATCAGAGAAAAAAATAATATCTGGGAAAATATCGAGTATACTATTTCAACTGATCAGGTAAAAAAGGAACTTCCGGTGGTGAGTTGTGAGCGGAAATGCTTTGCTGTTTTCTCTGTAAGTTGATACTCTCCGGGTAGGTATATTTGTTGTTGCTTTGATCCCGTCAATAATTCACCCTAATCGTTCTCCATTTTTCGGGAAGTGAGACGTAAATTGTATGGCATACATTTGAACATCTTCGTTGGCCTTTGAAAATTTCATTCAGGTATGATGTAGTTAGAATAACGGTTTGTCGTGTTTATTGTCTTATGCCGGTTAGTTTTAGCTCGGCTTAACCCAGAACGTCAATTTTTTAGATCAGAGCTGTTGACGTTTCTAAACGCCGATCGTGCTCCCTCGGCTTGCATTCATTGATGCAATGTGATATAAACCGGCTTCAAACATGGAAGGATATTCACGTTTGTACTATGTGAATTCAAAATGTATTCTTCGATCGGCGTTCTTTATAAACAAGACACGCTATACGTTGAATATCACTTGACAGCCTCCTGCGAATACAGCCACCACTCACAGCTCATGGCCATTCTTTTGATTGATACTGATCACGTTTTTTTCTTTTTCACGTTCTCACTTACACCGTAAATATCTTTAATTTTATTTGTGAAATCTGAAAAAGAATAAAATGCTAAACAACTGTTCTGTAAGCTGGCGCTGATCAAGACATGTAGAAATCTTACAATTCTTACAAGTGAAAGAGTGACATGTTAGAAGGCCGGTGTATTATCAATGCAATCTTGTATGTAATACTGTGCTAACATTTGCGGATTAAGACTCCGGGGGTGGGGGGCGGGGTTGGGAAAAGAGCCCCGCCCATGGCTCCCTCGAATTTTCAGTAAACTATGCCCTTTGCAGCCTTAATTTTTCGACACAGATGGTCTGGGGATTCTTAAACCAGAAAAGAACTTATTTCTCTCCCCGTAGCTAGCAAGTAACCCATCTCCCCTTTTGTAAACTTTCTGGATTCGCCCCTGTACGCAAAGCCAATGTTCAGCAATTGCGCCATGGACTCTGTCCCTTGATCATGCATGTGGTTGTCACACCGACCTTATATATGTCACCTGTGCATATGGTAATATGATCAATCATACTACTTTTGTATATTGATCGTCTGCAAAATTTTTTAGCACTGGTATTTGTTTAGTCTTGCCTAAATATTGCCTAGCCTTTGCTGCCTGCATTTTTAAACTACTGGAGTACACCTTTGGGACTGGAACCAAGTGTCCGTCTACAGAGTAATGTCCGTCTTATAGGTAAAGAAACAGACTGCATGGCAATAGCCTCCTCTAAGAACGTCTGCGTGGGAGCATGGGAGGCTAGCATGGCAGGCGTTTGAATGGGAATAGGAGCGAGAGATACCCGTGGGGCCTGCCACGCAAGCTAGTAAAGAAAAAGAGGGGGACATTGGGGGTACCCAATACCGCAATACCGCCAGAAAAATTTGCAAATACCCTGTCGAAAACCCACGAAATAGCGAGGCCGCATTTACGCTTTAATACGTGAAGTTGTATCCATCTTGCGTGTCTGTTTATCTCAAGCATGTACGCACCAGCAATCAACCTCAGCTATTGCGAGAAAACGTAAGATCTCGAATTTATCATTACAACGATCGAAAAGCCCGGTCATTGTACGGAACAACAATTTCATTGTAGATTAACTATCATTTATTAACCTGTATATTTTACATTGTTTTACGTGGCATATTGTATTTAGCGCAAAAGAACGGTACCGCAACACCGCGAAAGATCTTCTTTTACCGAATACCATTAGCCAAAAGGATGAAAAACCGCATACTTCAGGGCTAGATGATACTGCAATACCGCACATTAAAATCAAAATTACCAAAATAACGCTTGAAAAAAAACTCAATACCGCAATACCGTAAACCCCAATGTCCCCCTCGAAAAGCATAATCTAGATGCCCGTTTTACCGAGGTGTTTATCTCATGGGGGTGCCCATTAAGAGAGAATCGAATTTATTTTGTTTTCACTGAGAACCATAATTCTTAGTTTATAATGAAATTTCCTCTGTCCATCACTTCTGAGTTTGGGAGTACACGTTTTTAATTATTTTATAGAGTTGTGAAAAAAGACAAAATTGTTTCTTCTTGAATTTGTTATACTCTCATTTTAAGCTGGTAGACATTGCTCTTATTGTTCCTTATCGGTTTAAATTACCATGATTACTTTTTTCGGAAAGAAAACAGGGCCAATCAGTCGAGTTTCGTTTTTTCCTCAACCCTTTTGTCTTCAAACTGTAACGAAAGTTTGTTCTCGTAGGTTTCCGTTGGCAAGCTACAGTATCGTGCAACTTTTTTTCTTGCCAGTATGGTTAGTCTTTGTTGGTATATTGCTCAGTACTATACCAGACTAAGAATTTTCAGGTAATTTCTCCTCAGTTCCGGTAATTTAGGTCTGCTTTTCTAGATACGAATTAAGAGTCTTTAAATATTGCACTGTTGTGTCTGAAGAAGAATTTTCACCAATTTGATTCGAATCCACATCCGGCCACTTCTGATCTTTTATCCTCTATTACATGGCTGGCTCAGCGAGCGGCCGGCAAGATGAAGGAGCCAGTGTTCTGATTGGCTACCCGAGCAGGAAAGATGTAGCGGTATTAAACTTCGGCCTGCTTTGTTTTGTCGACAATTGAAACACAATGAAAACCGCCAGCAACGCAGGCTAGAAAGATGGTCCTATCTTTTTTGCCCGTTCGGAATATCGCCAACCTTGTACCGCAAGAAAAGATTTTGTTTCGGCCATATAATAAACCCTGATTGATCACGCTTGTTCAGTCAAGATTGCTGAACGTCTTGAATGTCGGCCTCGTTCTTTTTCGTGCCTGTTTTCATGGACCTTGACGATAAAAAAGTTAAGAAAAAAAAAATTGGCCAGCTTCCATCCAGCTTGACCGAACAAGCTTGGCCAAAATTAAACACATGCATTGTATATCAGCTGAATTAAGTCGAAGCCCGTAAGTTTGGCTGTCAAAATCAACGTTATGTGAGCCTGGCTGTAGCTTCAACTGAAGCTTTTTAAGGGAAAAAGAAACTGAAAGCAAGCAAGAAAGAAAAGGAATCAAAAAGTGCAAATTTTTAGGCTTGGTCTTGGAACATTCAAAGCGAAGAGGTTAACCCTACAAAAGTCAAATGACAACTTAATGAAGATGTGTTTGCAACGTTATATCTTTTTAGTCTGTGGATGAAAGCCTATTTTGTTACCATTCAAATGAAACCTCTTCATTAGTTTACTTTTGCTTGGAACCAAACATATTGCGAAATAAGAGTTTCTTTTTCTCTTCAATTTAAACTGAATTCCTCAGTACTAAGAGTGAAAGGTTAGAAGTAACCTTATATTGCTACCGGGCTAACAACATGCAAAGTAGAAATAAATACTAGCTTCCTTGGTTCTATCAAGGCAAGGCGGAATGATCCGATGAAAGCTATGCACGTTGCCAGGGATTTTATGTGAATAGCCGTGTCAATGAATCGTTCTTAGGTGATCCATTGTAGAGTCAGTTTTCGAATAGTGTGAAAAAGAAAATTGTTCGGAGAAAAATGGCGAGAATTCTTTAACTCTTTAATTACACATACAATTCTCCACCGTGAGATCCACACATTTCCTTATACAGTGGAACCTCGATTTAACGAAAGGCTTAGGGACTGGCAAATTTGTTTGCTATAACGAGGTTTCGTTATATCGAGGATCTATTGAAAGATAAGTTGAGAGAATTTGTTAGAAGACCAAAGCGTTTTCTCTTATTAATGGTTATAACCTTTCGTCTACTATGTTATCGTTAGGAGAAAATTGATGTTGGTCACTCTTTGAACTGTAAGGTCTGAATAAACCCACTCATTTGTCCAATAGTTCTAACGTTAAGTGGCAGCTGCGCAAAAGTGAATAGTACAGTGAAACCTCTTTTAAGGGTACACCTTCAGGACCTTCCCAGGTGTCCGCCCAATAGAGTTTTGTAAAAATTGCGCAATGTTTTTGAACGAGTTTCAACGGTTACTCTGTATTGTGATAAAGTTCCATGTTGTTAAGGAAGCTAAGGACGCTGTGCTTTACGTTATGCAAGACTTTCGGTCTAATATACAGTTTATTGAAAGCTAAATGTATTGATTTATCTTTATTAATCGACTACAGCTGCTACAGTACTAGATATTTCAAGGACGTAATGCAATACGACTAATTCAATTCAATTCAGTCCGGTGTTAAAATTAGCCAAATACAATTAATTTTAGTGTCTGCTTTCGCTTAAGAGAGGTCTCCGCCGAATAGGGGTTAGTTATAAAGGGAAATATAAGACGTTAATTTCGGGACCCGGCTTAGTGTCCGCTTAATAGAGGGTGTCCGCTTAATGGGGGGTCCGCTTAATAGAGGTTTCACTGTATTAGAGGAAGTCTTGCTTTCCATCTTATAGTAATGCATTTGATCCACCAAATTACGTGTTCTGCTAACTGCCTCACCCCACTGACCACCATGGCGAGGAAAACAGAGCTCGCCCATGACACCATGCGCGGCGCTAACAGCACGCAGGGATGCCTGCAGACGAGAGATTTTTGCTAACAGAAACAATCATGCGAAAAACGCACGAATCTGCCGGCATTAAGGGTGGGGGAGAGGTTACTGCGTCTGCCAACATAGCGGATAGCATCGATGAAGTCAAAGTAAGGAACAGCGAGGTGATGGAGGCCGGACGCCTTATGACGTCTACACAAAGCCTGACCCAAATACAGTAGATAGCAGATTTGCGCGCTCTGCGTATAACTATGAAACTCAACTTTTACGATCAGTTCGTCAGATAAAAACTTCGTCATTTAAAATATGATATATGACTGCCAGTTTCATTCGTATTGCAGAAAGTGACGTCACATCTTAGTTTAGCCAGTCGTTGTTGATCACATCACCATGAATCTTTATTCCAAGTATATGGAGATCGCACCGTCTTTCCTTTACGGCCTGTTGTGTTTCTCTGCCATCTTAGTGTGGACGTTGGTTGCGATTCTTACCCTACCCCTTTGGTTGTTGTTCAGAGTTTTTAAATGGTCCCAAGGCGTCATCATTTCCTATTATAAACTGGGAAGAATTTTGGCGAGCAATGACGTACCATTCCTTCACGAGACGGAGATCAATCGTAACTATATCAATGGACTATTCGTGTTGGAGGGGGTAATTGGTTTGGATGACCTTCGCAAGCTTATTCTCTCCCGTGTGGTGCAAAATAGTGAGGAACCCAGCTACGCACGCATGCGTAAACGCGTCGTCAAACAATACTGGCGCTATGTATGGGTAGACGAACAGGATTTTGATATAAAGAAGCATGTGTTTAAATACGATGGTATTGCTCCGCGCAGTGAAGATGAACTACAACAAGTGCTTAGTGAGCAGTTCTCGTCAGCTATGTGCGATGATATCTCGCCTTGGGAGATTATAGTGACGCCTATGGACATGCCAGGAAAGGATCAAACTGCTATTTGTATGAGAATTCACCACACTATAGGAGATGCCTTTGCCTTGATTGGCCTTTTTTGCAGGCTGATGGATAAGAAGCCAGAACTACTGCGCGTCAAAAAACCGGTGACTACCCCTTGTGACAAACAGAAACAGGTAAGCTTGAAGAATAGAGTGCACCTCGCGCGTGGGACATTGGTTTCCATCCCTGCTCGCCTCGGTTGTATGAAACATGTCAGTAGCGGATCCAGGGGAGGGGCCCGGGGGTTTGCCCCCACTTATTTTTAGACCAAACTGAGGACCGAAGGGCAGAAAAACTTTTCTTGGGAGACCCCCCGTTATCTAAGGGTCTGGATGACCGCCCGCCCCGTTATCTCAAGGTCTGGATCCGGCACTGCATGTAACCACCACTCAACCGCCGTTAGGAAAAGGAAAGCCGGTAACACTTGCAACACTAATACCTGCAACAAGTGCTAAAAGCCTGAATGGTAACTGCAACTTGCAGCCGGTGTTAATTAGCCTGTGTACAAACTCCCCCTCCCCTCATGAAACATCGGAGAAGCCCCTTCTCCGACTTTTCCTGAGGGGAGGAGGGGAGGGGGGTCTGTACACAGGCTAAGCCAGTGTGGACGCTTGAAAACTGGAAAAATAAATATTGCCAAGCTAGGGAGAAAATGCAATGTAGATCAGTGTAGTGCCCTAAGTGGGATCAAGCTTCTCCTACCTTGGCTGTTGGCAAAGCCTTTCAACCGTTGTTTTGTACGGTAAAAACATGCCACTTTTTGCCAAACCATACCTAAAATCATATTACTTTCTGTACTCAGGTATGGAAGACTATTTTATCAGGTCCGTTGGCTCTTCTTAGTGTAGCGCTATCCACTGCAGACAATCCGTTTCCCGCCAAAAAGTTGTCAGGTGAAAAGCGATTCAGCTGGACAAAACCAATTGACCTTGAGCTTGTTAAGGAAATCAAGACTAAAACAGGTAATAACAAGGAAAATAATGATATCTTTCTGCAAGGAGTTTTCAAGTGGGGCTTTTTGTTATGCGCAACTGGAGCAACACCTACAACACATAAAGGATATATTTTTTTAGTGAATTAATGGAGACAATTGGTCCAAGACTTGATGACTCAACTTGAAAAGTAGACTCAGCTTTTTCTAGTTATAAACCTTTTGTTTGTCTTATTCCGGGGCGAAAGACTACCTTAAATAGTTCTATTACAAAACAGATAATTTAGTAATGTTTCATTTGCCGCAAATATATCTTTGGGTGAAGGTAATGTTTTGGTATTACCGAACCTTCACGGTTGCGATCGGCAAGAAAATGCCAACCAATGAAAAACTAAAATGATGGTTAACAAACGTAAACAGGAACTTCAAAGGGACTTATGAACCAAGGCCTACTCTAACATCACTAACACGATCACCTATGAAAAACTCACATCTGAAAATGGCAACCGCACAATATTCCTAAAACGGCATTAAGCTAAGCAAAAATTCAAGTACAAGTAAAAATAAAGGATCAAAACAGGAAAATACCCATGCGGACAAAATCCAGACTAACCTTGACCCACTTAATGTAACAAAAACGAAACTCAAAAATGAGACATCTTAAAAATGACTTCCAAAATACTTCACAACAATATTAACATGATGAACTAGACTCCCGTGACACAGGCCCTTTAAAAGCGTGATGGGAAACTGAATTGAACTCGTATCAACCCCCGGCCGTTACTCCCTCCAATTTATTAGGAGTTCCTGTCCGGGCTTCAATAGTATAGGTAGTGACTCAACACTAAAATTATTTTCACGGCAAGTTGAATGACTCTACGATATCAAATTAACCTGAAGTAAAAAGAATGGAAGTGATAAAAGTTGCCAGAATTTGGACATAGTATATACAATACAATTCAAGAAAAATAACCTTTCACTATCTCTTTGTGTTATCTATTAACATGTAAGGAAACTTCTTTATAATTGTAACGGACAACAGCATGGATCTCGAATATTTTGATTGTGGCCAATTAATCGCGCTAACCTTCTGTTCCCAGGCACGACCGTGAACGATGTCCTATCCACATGTTTGGCCGGCTCATTACGCCGTTACCTCAGCTCCGAGGGCATTAAGGAAAATCCCACGGATATCCAGATCGCTGTCACTATCAACACTCGTCCTCTCAAGGTCTTGTCAAAAGATAACATTCCCCTGGAAAATCATTCAACTGGCTTGCTGTATAGTCTTCCTGTGAGTATGGCGGATCCATTGAAACGTCTCAGGGAAACCAAGCGAAGAATGGACAACTTAAAATCCTCTTCAGACTGGCGTATCTTTGGGTTTGTTTATTCACACATAGTCGGTCGCCTGCCTGAGTTCATTGGTCGGTTTTCATCCTTCTCGCTTAACAGACACTGCTCTTTGATCCTTAGCAACGTTCCTGGGCCTCTTTCTCCGTTTGAGATCAATGGCAAAGAAGTAGTTACCGCAATAGCCTGGCCCCCATTGATCAGTGACACTGGAATGGCTATAACAGTGTTTAGCTATGCGGGTACTTTGCGCATGAACGTTTTGTCTGACAAGGCTGTGCTTTCGAACCCCGCCAAGCTGACGGAAAAATTTGTGGAGGAGTTTGAAGAGATGTACAAGTGCGTGAAAAATGGGCCTGTATTGGCACCTGACGGGTCTGCTACCAAAAGGAAGTACTTTTAACCAGTGGAGAACTATAAAACACTTGAGTTGGTCAACCAGTTTTACTTTGAAGGTTCTATTTTAGAATTTTACCAAGGTACTCTTTATTCACAATTTATTAGAGAGCTTAAGCAAAGGCGTTTTGGGCCACGCAAGTCAACCAGAAGTGAGGCGTTTTCCAATGTTACTAAGTCAACCGGAAATGAGATATTCCCATACTACTACATGGGAAATTTCTGCAATTTGATTGGCTTAGAGCAGTGGTGTTACAGCTTAATTTGAAATACCTACAAGTGAAAATTACAAACCTTTTGCGGGTAGTAGTATAAACAAATAATAGCATGATTTGTACGTGATATTTGACATAAATACCAGTCGTGATATTTCAAAATTATTTCAAAATTATCTCAAATTTCACTCGCCTAAAGGCTCGTGAAATTACCTATAACAATTTCGAAATATCACTCGTGGTATTTATGCCAATATCACTACAATTCATGCTATTTTCTATACTAATATGCTTAACGCTACAAAATTTTAAATCTTGCGAAGTGTCTATTGGCTTTACTTTGCCTGAAAAACTGGACAAAAGCATTGCCCAAGAAATTCACTTCTGGTTGACTTGCCTCGCTCAAAAATGGCTTCTTAAATCCGGGTTCTGTGTATTAATTAGACGAAGGAGTATCTGGTTGGACATAAAAGTTGTTTGCACATCTGCGTTTTTACTTTGCAAGGGTATTGCTTAAATTAGGAACAAAGGCTCCCAGATCACTTCTTTGTTTTCATTGTTTATCGTAGAGCAAGTCATTGGATTCGAAGGATGAGTGCTATTTGTGATTTGAACCCAGTCCTTCTTAAATATGCCGTGATGTTGCAAGCTTATAAACAGAGGGAACCAGGCAAATTAGTCCCTAATCAAGTGAATAACGTTTTGCTCTTAGGATACGCGATTATAGCGTACTTTGTGAAAAGCAGCTATTCTTAGTTTGTTTTCTTTGCTCAGTATTTCGTTAGTTTAGTGATTAACTAAGCATGTGTCTACTATGTATTGAATCAACGAATATTAAATGGCAAAAATGACCCGATTTCTCTTGATTTTCCGACAAATCAAGAGCGAGCCTCTTTCGTGTTTGAGCTTTCGATCCACCCCGTGGGGGGTGGCTCATGCGAAGTGGAGTGCATTCCCGGGTAAAAATGCGGCCGAATGTGAACATAGGACGTTTTAGTAAGATACTAAAACCAAAAGAAAAACTACGAACTCGTGGAAATACAAACTCGCCTTAAATTTTTAGACGAAGAGTAGTCTTTCGTTTTACTCGAGGATAGTAGAGCGAGCAAAATAAACGCGAGCACGCGTGAAAATCGCATGACAGGCGACAAAGCCGAGAGGAAGGTGTCATGCGGAGGCAAGAGAGAAGTTAGGAAAAGGAAGGCACTTGCATGTTTTAAAGACTATTCAGATCTATTTTCTGTGATAATCTGTAAATGAATATAAGAATCCAACCAAATTTGAATATCTTTTTTTAATGCAACAATATGAGGACGACAAAATGAAAGTTCTCGACATATAAATTACAATCAAATAATGTATTTAATTATATTTATTTTGATACTTTATTCTATATTAGATTGGCATGTCGTGAAATGTGTTAAGACTTTTTGCATATCAATATATTTACTGGTGAGTAGTATAGAAAATATCTAACAGATGAATTTTTTAAAGAATCCCTGAAAAAAGATTCAGTTAAAGGTAAATTCTCTACCTTCACTGCAACAATAAGAAAAAAGATTTTTTACACTGACTTTTTGCGTCAACGCATACTCAAAGAAAGCCAGGAAATCAGAAGGTAAAACTGTGTATAAGCTGTCCTGATTGTTCGTTAGGCGCATTTTTGTAATACTTTGTAGTACACGTGTAGTTTAATTTCGATTAATTATTTAAAATAACCTGTGTAATATTCCAGACCACTTTGGACTCCACTAAGCGGTTTAACGAAGAATCTTTGTTAGCCTGAGTATGAGGCGTCTCTGGGGAAAAGGGAGAAGAGGGAAGCGAAAAAGGGGAGACAGCTTTTTCCCCTAAAATAGCCTCTCCCCTATCCCCTAAGGAAGGACTGATGCTCTGGCTAAATCTTTGTGAGGTCTGGCTGGAGTCATGCAATGCTCCCCGCCGCGCGCAATTAAGAATTTCTGCTGTACAGGAGTCCGTACAATCGCTTGTATGATCGAGGAACGAAATGGGATCCCACTGACGCGATTCAAACCGTACCCCAAATGTAGACCCTTTTGTTTGCTATGGACACTTACGTGGACTGATCTCACTAGAGGGCGGTATTTTCCTAAGGGAATTAGAACTCAAGCTCGTTGTTCAAACGATACTCAGTGTCCTACGCAGGTTATTTTAAGGCAAAGTAATTATTGAGCGACAGCTAAATAAACTCCCTGGCGGGGAATAGTTAAGCTTCTATCTCAATCACACTCAACGAACGAACAGTGTTTTCTTTTCTGGATTCCAAAACTTTCTCGAGTCTTGTTGATCATGGTCCAAGAAACTGCGAATTTGATTTGAATGAGCAGTTGGGGTGGGGCATGGTATCTTTGTCGTAAATCGTGTACAATTAGACCAAAGGAGGGGTGGAGGAGTAGATACGTAACTCCATTAATAGCGCTCTTCGTCCTCATGGCCCCTTTTCACTCTTAGCTACTATGGTAAAGAGGGCCAGGCGAACCTGGGTACAAGTATGATGGTTAAACATGTTCTGTAGTAGCAGTATTGTAAAGACAGTTGTTATTTTTAACGTATTGCTACCAGATCCATTACTATGTAATGATATTTGTAACTGCTAACTGTCTTCAAAAATAAAGGTTGTTTTTGCTTCAGGTTCATTTCGACATCGGTTCAAGTTTTTATAGTTAAGTTTTTACGTCAACAATCACACCAAAGTTTGGTAAGCTCCAAATGTTGCATTTCGAGTACACATAGATTCCATCTTTCTTATTTTTCCTTACAGCTCCTCCCGGCTCAAATATACCCTCCTTCCCAAAGAAGGAAAAGTTTTAAACACCCACCACCCCCCCCATCCACTCCGTTTTATCCTCATTATCACAAAGGATTACAGATTTAATTGACTGGTCAATGTAGTGACTGGAGCATATACAAAAATTCGTATTAATGTATATATCTTACACCAGTATATGTCTGACTTTAGTTCCGTGTTCCTTATCCCTCGTCCAAAAAAAAGAAGTAGGTGCCAAACAAGTGGTATGGATCTTTCGGGGCATATTTAATTAGCAGGTACATAAGACGTCAAAATGGGATGAGAACATGTAGCTTGACATAGTAATGAACATGGGGCACGGCAGAGTGTGTCAGTGACGTTCGAAACATAGATTGGACGATTTACCTATAGCCCAATAAACCTTTGTCAAACTATTGTCGACAAACGTTACATGTAAGCAGACAGTTTGTGCGGCTACAAAGTAAAGAATACTTCGTACAATAAACAGCTTATACGATGATATAGTAACAAATTAACAAAAAGTGTCAGCCTAGTGTGTTCAAAATGTCCGGTTTAAAGGATTGGCGTTTAAGTTGTGGGTTCACTTTGAATTAAATATCCCAGCTAACCAGCAAATAATCCGCTAAACTTGGCTGACTCATATTGGTATATGCGCCTTTTAAACAAGCATTTATGATACTCTGGCAAATAAATTTGACTCAAACATTACTATCCAGCTCTATATTAATCATGATATCAGGCGTATCTACAAACTAAGTAGCATATCTACAAGCTAACCAGCAAACAATCTGCTAACATTGGTGTGTTCGCATTTCAAACACGAACTTATGATACTCACAAATAACTCTGAACAAAACACTACCCAACTCTACATTAGTATCAGAAATATCTACAAAGGTCAAGAAATATTTACAAGAGGAATAGGGGCAAAAATGAAGGTTATAGGCATATGAACATACCCTTCACATACAACTGTTGTAGAATTCGTACTTCGTGCTGGGATATCAGTATATCGACTGAAAAGTGGCCTGTAATGATCAACACTCTGAAATCCCGTTATTCACTATACAATTTATATCTTACTATATTTTAATAGACACCAATCCGCAATTTGGCAAGAAACCTTTCAAAACACGTTTTTCCAGTGCAATAAAAACGATAAAACCAGAACACCATACTCCAAACTTTCCCCCATTTATAACGGGGGAAGATGTCTGTTTTTCATCCTCTTTTCGTAAGAAACAATCCCAGGTTTCTTTCTTTCAGGGATCCTTCTTGAACCCGGAAAATGGCTGCGGCGTGAAACTGTTATGTAGCCACGAAAGCGCGCGATTATTTTTTAATCCAGGCCCCGGTTGTTCAAAGGGCGGGTGGGTAAGCCTTTTACCGGGAAAATAACTATCCAGTGGTTAAAATTTTTGTTCCACTTGTGTCAATTCGGTCGTTCGAACCTTGGTACCAGATCTGGTCTTCATTTTATCATCCTAAGTGGAACTACAGCAAGTCTTCTCTCGGAATCCCCGTCACAAGCATCGTCCAGCATTTCCCCATCGTCCTCAACAATGCCTCCCTGGCTTTAACTTATTTCAGTTCAGTTGACTCCCGATATCAAGATGGCGATCAACCGGCATCGATATAGTACGGATATTAACATGTCGATGCCCTATATAGTCTCTGTTTGTGGATTCGTGATACTGGGATTGTTAATCTTGCCCACGACCTTCCATGTCTTGTGTCTACTTCTTCTCCTTTCCTGAAAGCATACTGCTGTCTCTAATGTCTTTGCTATTCACGAACCCAACTCCCGTCCCTTCGGCTGCGAATTATCGAATTTGCGAAAAGAAAAACAAAACAAAACAATTTACTGAGTACTGGGCATAACATGTACGTATTGTAGTTACCTTAAGCAACATACTAGAAGAGGAAGTTTCTGAAAACCATTTTAAACCTTGAATCTCCAGCAACACAGTATAAAACTTATTGTTTTACTTCATTGTCATCATCTTTTTCAAAAAGGGAATGAGAACCCGAGCATTTTGACCATGAAAATCATTTGACGGGTAAATTAAATGCTAGCAAGAAAGAGTTCCTCACCTTGACAAAAACATTAGTTGGAACCATTTTCTGCGCATGCTCGTCCCAACTGACCTGGAATCGAGGCAGATTGAAGTGCAGTTTGGGAAGGGTTAAATAGCCAGGAGAAAGAGGATACAGACTAAATTTGAGCCTGTGATCACCAGAGGGCAGCAGTCGAAACTGAATCTAACAAAGAAAAACATTAATAAAGAGTTAACTTCGAAGGAGCAAGAAAAAGTTATCTCCAGTAATATACCAAAAGTGACAGAACCCGGGTAAGTTGAATAATTATCAGTTTTGGATCTTGAGACTTTCGGGTAACGACCTGCGCCCAGTTGTTCAAAAGGTGGATTGCGCCTTCCACCGGGTAAATTTTCATCCAGTGTGTAACGCAATTGGTTTCCCTTATACTAGTCGCTGGAAAAAGATTTATCCAGTGGATAGAACTATCCGACGTTTGGACTACCGGTTTTCTTTAAATTCAATTAATTAAAGTAAGCAATACGCACCTGTTTACTGCTATAATGCATTGACTGCATAATAGAAGTTTTGAGGTTGAACTTTAGATCGGGTCTAATGGCACAATGGCACGCTATTACTTCTTTCATTTGCAATTATGAATTTGCGCAAGAAACTTAGTCGCTTTCCGTCCTTAAAAATAGTCCCACAGTGCATTTCGACGCAACAATGACCTGGTGATGCATGTGAACATATTTACGGCCTGCATAAAAACAGCTAACTGCTCTAGCTTGCTTGTAGCTTAACCCAGACAGAAATACACCCGAACTAACCTGTTTATGTCCAGAATACATAAACGCGTCGCTCGGCTCTACAGTTACCTCCACTTCTTGGACTTGAAGTGTTCGATTGCGAACAAGGTAACTTACACACAAAGGGGTCTGAACACAGCCATATGCCGGCAAATCTGAAACGACAAAATCATTTAGCCTTTGAGATAGCGTAACCAACAGGAAAGAGCTCTGATGCGGAAACAACGCAAAAAGGACACTTTTGAGTGTAAGCCATCACCTGTCCGCGTAAAAGACGGGTGACGGTAAATGAAGATCTTTAAGGCCATTAAACATACTTCCAACAGCAAAGTCTATGGTATGGACAACATTCCTGCTTAAGTAGTAAGTAAGCACGTGTGGATTACTGAAGGATGAATTGTGGCAGGGTTCATGGTAGCCTGCGACCAGGATTGCACGCTAGCTTTCGTGCGAACAGTTTTCACCCAGAAAAGGGATTAGAAAAGAATTCTCTCAGCTTCCATGCCGGTGCACTTCACTTCTCGCGCTTAGACTTCTACAAGAGAACCTTCTCATAAGATTTTCAACGCCCTTTCATCTTAACACAGACAGCTATAACAGGGGGAAAGGCTACGAAGTTTTCCAAAACTTGTTACCTAAAGTCTTGGGACATATTTGCATTTGTGGCGATTTTTCAAAACTGCACATGCCCATCCCCTCCCTCCACCCGACATACATGGTTGAATCCGTGTATCCACGATTCCGGCCTTTTAACAGTGTACAGGGTGGGGAGGGAGAACTGCAAAGCATCTGTGAAAAAAACATCCTCAAAATTACAGGTAACTACTGTATAAACCATTTGCAAACCGTCCCAAGAACTTTTCTCCACGATTGTAGATCACATTTTTTGAGCAAGAATCTAGCTTTCGCTTCTGTAGAATATAACAGTTTACTGTCTCACCTGTTTGAATAGCAAAAGGAACACTTTCCACTGCAACAGAAGGAAAAGTGAGCTCTGTGACTACAACTGGAAACTTCTCATCTGCAGAAGTTCTGTTAAAAAAAAAAAATCAAGATGCACAGAAGCAATAGGTAACAATCTTGCACTTTCGCCAGCTAAGGAGTTCGAGCTATTTCGACATAATTCCCCGCAGGATATAATTTCAAAATATAGCCCCCCGGGTTATAGGCCTATCTACCTGTAAACCAAAAATACAGTCATCCAGTTATAAGGCCCCCCCCCCGCCCCCGCCAGATATAAGCCCCCTCTAGCTTGTAATGATATGAATTCAATATTTTACGATGTATTGAAGCTTGAAAAAGCAAGAATATTCCAAAAGTATTTTCATCAGCACTGCTATGTAGTCTTTTTTGAAACACTTTTTCAGTCCGGTTGTAAGCCCTCCCCCCCCATTTATAAGCCCTCCTAAAACCACTTACGAAGTTGAATAAGCCTTGGGGCTCGTTTCTTGAAAGACCCGGCAACTTTTCGGGCCCGAATGCAAATTTTAGAACCAAAACCTGTTGAACAGTAGCACAGTTCCTAGCCCACAAAACAGTCATATTTGCTTCATTAACTGCCAGCTTCATTGTACTATTTTCAAAACTATTTAAACTTTGATCTTGAATACAAAAACAACAAACAAAAAACAGCTTTCCGGACCCGAAACGTTTCCAGGACTTTCGAGAAAGAGGCCCATGGCTTAAAAGCGGAAGTTACGTTATAATCATATACCAGGCTTCACTTACCTTCTCCATTGAAGAGCAAGGCTTCCAATATTTACAACCTTCAATCTGTTGACTCCCTCCCTTACAGACAAACAGTAACACTCCGAAGCACTTTCACCTTGCTGCAAGGAGACTGTGAAAGAGAAATAGAGAGAAGTCATTACGTCACATGGCCATGGTAGCAAAATTTCTTGATGCCAACAAACCGAAAATGTCACTCAAAAAGATTTCGCACTGTTTCAAAAGTCATCGATAGATAGATGGACAGACAGACAGACAGACAGACAGACAGACAGACAGACAGACAGACAGACAGACAGACAGACAGACAGACAGACAGACAGACAGACAGACAGATAGATAGATAGATAGATAGATAGATAGATAGATAGATAGATAGATAGATAGATAGATAGATAGATAGATAGATAGATAGATAGATAGATAGATAGATAGATAGATAGATAGATAGAAAACCTTATTAATGTGTCGGAGCCGTATAGCTTGGGAAAACCCCCTTACTAATTTGGGACACAATTTATAATTGGAATTACGCATACAATATAAAAGTAAAAATATTAAGACTACGCATAATGTATTATGTTGAGCAGAGAGAACAGCACTTTAATACATCCATCATCTATCGATCACCATTCGATCTTATTCAACTTCATTTAATCTGTCAAATGTTGGCGAAATTTCTGGGGTTGAATACGGAGAACGGTATCTAAGTTTATAAAAATAAAAAGAACATTTTTGTGTTGTGTTAACCAAACGGACGGTGAAATTAGGAAGTTTCTTGTCGCAGTCGTGCAACGACGGCTAAGAAATGTACAAAAAAGCGTGATGCACGTGCAAAGTTGTTGTTTTGCTAATATAAACCTATTGCTTTTTTGCCGTTCTCCTTTCCGTCGCCGTCGTCGTTGCCTAAGCTCCCTATTTCTTATTATTACTGATCAGTCTGGAGAATTCGCATGTAGGTATTGGGGCTTTATAAAGGTAAATCAATCTTAGTGCAGCTATTTTGAAACTATAAACTTGGATTGACACACAAACAACGATTGCGTATTAACAGAAGCATATAACCCCTGCTTCTGGTATTAAAGTACCGTACAAAGCACTTTCCACGTGGTATTTTACGTCAGACCTTTTGTCGTCTAATTATTTAATTCCATATTTTGTGCAAGTATTAAGACTGTTGTTCTAAAGCTCCTAAAGGTAGCGAAAGCCGTGTTTAAGCTTAAGCTTGTTATAATAAGCTTACGCACTGAGACTGTAGTGAGACATTCATCGCTCTGTCATAACCTTTCGTTTTGAACTTTTCACACATCGTAAAATGAAAAGAAAAATGATGTGAACTTTGAAAAACCAACAGTAAAATCATTATGAGTGTAAGGATAGAAGGTGATAAAGAAACTACAAGTAAGTTTGACAATTTTGAGTAACTGAAAATGGCACCGGTTTGACAGATAGACGACGGCTCCTAATTTTAAAGGTACAACTTACGGCTCCATAATTTCCAAGGCTCGCTACAATGTTTTTCTTTTGACGAGGAAATTAACAAGCAGAGCTATTATAATCCAATTCCCGGACTCTTGTTCACTTTTTCACGGGAAAAACTCTTCTTTGACTTTGAGCTCAACAAATTTTCTAGTTGAATGAAGGCGACGGAAAACGCGAAGCGACGGCGCTGCAAGCAGCTATAAAAGGCCGGAAAATTGGCGCGAAACTTAGGCACCGCACGCTCTGGCGCTCTACGCGCATTTTGATTGGTCGTTGCCTATGATCTATCAGCCGAGTACATATGAATGAATTCATGGGTAACATGGCGAGGATTTTTGAAAGTGTTTGAATTGAGCAAGTAAAGACCTCAAAAAAGGTTTAGCAGAGGTCGTTTACAAGTAAGAAAAAAAGTGTTTTGGGCGACTTGAAAACTCCTTAATTGGAAGAAATCTTCAAAACAGTAGTCAACTCTACGAGAGACTAGCAGTTTTGAAAATGATTACACGGTATTCTGCTTTGTAAAAATTGAGGTCTCGAAAAAAGAGTCAAGGAAATGTTTACAAGATAAAGAAGAAAATTATAAAGACGAAGTTCTTTGAGCTACAAATGGTGGCAACAAAAACAGCGGGACGTATAAAATAAATGGCTCCACGAACGCTTTTGTTTGAAAGTCCCAGTGACAACTAAGACCTCCCAAACCTAAAAACCAAACACACAAACAGACAAAAAAACAAAAAATGATAACATAAAAGAAAGACTTACTCCCTTGTAAATGAGATCCCATTTCTTCACCAACTATAGCCACCTCTGGGGACTGGAAAGACAAAGAATCAAACAAGCAAGCTATAAGCTACGGTTATATTCCCTATTGCTCGTAACATCCACTAAGGACAACGGTTACGTGTAACGGCCTTGGCCATGCAAGACAGTAACTTAATCGGCAGTGAGCTAATCTCTTAATTACAAACAAATGTGTGCACGTTACAGGGGCGCATCCAGGAATTCTTATTTCGCGGGGGGGATGGGGTCGAAACTTTCGTTCAGAAAGGACTATTGAACTTTTTTTGTGGCAAATTACTTCTCACAGAGACGACCACGTGTTTTCTCAATATGTGAACGCAGGTCACCACTGGCGCGGGAAATACTGCTTTGCGTACTTTGCAAGCAGAGGCGAACAGATCAAAGGAGGGTACCCAAAACAAAAATATTTAGTGGATTAACAAAATGCAACGAGCGTTTCATTAAAAAATTAGCCACTTAAAAAGTGATATACGATCCTGCCGATGTAAGAATTTCAGTCTCAAACAAGCGTCTGATAGGGGAAGGGGATACGGACCTCCCGGACCCTCCCACTGGATACATCACTGCGTTAGAGAGACGAGAAACTTGGGGTGCCCAAAGTCTCGACTCATCGCCGAGAGGGGAAGGTATTTTAGTGTCAGTAGCATATTAAAGTTTCTGGGACAGTTTGCCTGATGATATTAGAAGGAAAAGCAGTACTTTATCTTTTAAGACAGCTTTGAAAACTTGTTTTGTTAATTCTTATTCTGATATTGATACTTTTGAAGTGTTACTGTCAAAAATTTTGTTATTTTTGTGTTTTGGGGTAGGTTAGTGAAGGGCCACTGGTTTCATAGCTTTTGCTGTTCTGTATTTACCCTCTCTTAAAACGAAATTGATTGTTGACTGACGACATTACTTACCATATTGAGAGTACTAGTAACCATAGTAACAGGCCATGGTGACGTGCATTTAATTGCAGCTAATAGGAGAAACGGTTCGTCTTCAAACACTTGGTCTAGTCTTTCCAGCTAAAAAAGATAACAATTTTTTCCGTTTCTAAAGCGTTCTACCCTCAAAGGCAGAATTGTATTTGCGAGAGTCTGAGCGTATAGTTACCTTTAGGCTTGTCAAGGAAAGGGAGAATTCAAACGGCATAACTGTCTTGATAACAACACTGTCTTCCTATATGAAGACAAATCGGTAAGACAACTAAAATTTAAAATCGTGCTTTTTTCATAAATTACGATAAATTTAAAGTCATCGAGAGCATTTGGTGAGGACAAGGGAGCAGTTTTAGAAAGTAAAGGTTTCTTTTGAACTATCAGCCATCTGCTCGCCCCAATCCCAAAGGGTCTGAACGCCCTTGGGAATTGAAGCGAGGAGACAACTTGCATTTCAGCGAGTTTTTAGGGCTCTTTAGACTTGTACAAAACCTTAAGAGAGTTTACCTATAAGTAACAAAAGTTCGATAGAGAGTAACAACTATGGCCCTACCTTGACACATGTACAAGTCACAGGAATATCGTTGGGCTTTACTGGGACATCCACAGAATACACTATCTACAAATTAACAGTAAAGGACAACTTAAGATTGGAGTAACTATAGCTGTAAACGTGCGCCTCGATTAACTGAGAGGAGTAGTCAGGGAAAACCTTGGTGGCTTAATTTTTTTCGCCCTGTGTTCCACTAGGAGCCAGTTCACAACAGTCTTACCACTATTTTTAAAACCCTTAATCTCAATTATTCACCATACGTCGCAGCTCTTTGGATCTAGTATACGCGCACTTTACATACATACATATGTTATTGACTCTTCCCCACAGGGCTTTTCAGAGTCAATAGGGACCTTAAGCAACGTCGTCGGCAACGGCGAAAAAGTAGGATTCGCGCTGTTTCAAGTTTCATCGCTCTTATTCTAACTCTTCTAGTTTGTCATAGGTTGGTGATTTTTTCAGGAGTTGAATTCTAAAGGATGTTATCTAACTTCACAAAAGAAAAAGAAAATGGCGTTGTCTTGTGTTCCCGTCCTCCATAAAACGTGGAATTAGGACGTTTCACGTCGTAGACGTGCAAGGACGGCAAAGAAATGTACAAAAAAGCGTGACGCACGTGCAAAGTTGTTGTTTTGCCAATGAAACTTACCGCTTTATTGACGTTCTCGTTACTTAAGGTCCCTAATGTTACAGTAATAATTTTAAAAACACGGTTAAACAAAAAAGCCTAAAAACACGAAAATAATCAACTAGAGGAAACGCCCAGAAGTCGCCTAAGTTGACGCTTAAAACAAGTCACTGATTCGCTTAGTTTGAGTACTGGTTGCAATCATTCTATAATGGCGTCGCTCTATATTAAAGGACCTTTGGCCACTAACCGTACGGAAAAGTGGTATGCTTAACATTTCATTTCACCGTTTAATTTGCTTGTTTATTGTTTTCCAAACCAATCTTATTAGGCTTAGTCAGAACTGCGACATCACCCGTTTAAATACTACAGGGTGGGCCAGAGTTTTTGGGTATACAGTATACTGTAGGGTATTTAATTTCAGGTATACAGTATTTTTATGCTTAAAATTGGGTATAAAGTATTACGCTTTTTTGGAATTTTGGTAAAGAGTATAATAGCTCTGAAAGATCAATATCGTCCAATGAGAAATTAAATCTCGTTTATAATCTGGACAGCGAAACCGTATTTCAACTGGAACTTTTTCCAGACTTTCCTTTGACTGCCTTTGTGTGCCAAGCCCTGAGTAAAACAAGTTCTACTTTCCGGCAACCATCTGCAGTCTGCAGTCTGCAGTCTGCAGTCTCCCTTCGCGTGTCTCCCTTGCGCACCTCCCTCGCGCGCGCCGTTCTTTCTTGCATCCATTACTTCCAAGCGCCTGCTACGCAGGCTAGAAGGATAGCCTTTAATTCAAGTAAGTCTTGTATCGTTTCTGGCGAACGGCATCAGTTATGATAAACAAAACTTGCCTTCGCTATAACAGTCCGTGAACCAACTTGAGAGCATTTGAAGAAATAGGAATTCAAAATCTAAAAAAATTAAGTCAATAAATAGTTATAACACTGATTAGCTCATCACTAAATAATAGAGACCTATAGATTCGAGGACGAGATTGATTCAACTTAGTTTTTTCGCGTATTTTTAAAAAAACCGGAAATCTTCATTGTACTTTTTTTCACCAGAAAAGTTTGCACGGCTATTTTTATTGAAAAAGGTTAAGCCCTCTCCTGATCGCAAATGGTTAAACTTCTAACATTTAAGAACTTGTTTACGACACTGCGACATTCTCGCTAAAACTCGTAGTGAAAAGACGGCGGCTACCACGTTTTCCCGCTAAAATGACGTTGGTTCACGCGCACGCACCACTTAGTATTGAGAAAATCTGGTTCTCGTAGTCGTTCTCGTCTTAAAATCTAAAGCTCTCTATTAACTGTCACTCATAACTGTAAATTTTCTCGGCGGCGGAAAAGCGACGCGCGTGGGGAGGGATGGGAAGGAGGAAGAAGACCTGCCTCCTTCCCGTCGTCCCCTACGTTACGTTCTGCGCTAGTTTCCTGGAACTCTAATCACGAGAGAAGACTAATATCATATGCGATAGGCGTATCTACTGAATCAGGTGTAGCAGGTTTCGTTCTTATGATTAAACTTATTGTAGTATGGGAGGTTTGTCCCTTTCTACTGTTGACACGCTGCTCCACCAAAGCGATTTACGTTTGACCTTGAAACATGGTTTCCCTAAGTGTTTTTTATTTGTTTTATGAGCCAATAGATGAAAAGACTAAAACATGGACTTGTCGATTTTCTGCTTTAAAGAACAAACAAAGGTAAAAAAAAAACACACCGTTCGAATGCCCAATCGGCAGCCCAATTATGGGCAAACAATGGCCCATTTTACAGTTTCAGGTGGAAACAAGGCTGGAGTTGACCTTGTTTTGATACAACCCTTCCTACTTTCTTATGCACATCATGTTGTTGTTACACTAACTAAAATTTCTCAAGCATTATTTCCATTAGAAAAGGATGCAGGTTCTTATCAAAACAAGGTCAACCTCAACCTCACATTCACTCAAAGGCTAGGACAATAAGCCCACAGCTGCAAAATGGCTTTTACTTTTCAACAATCCTCCATCAGCTGGGAATTTGTTGCATGTTCGCGAAACCAAACAAAAGCCACGCGAGTTTGCGTATGTTCGATTAACAAATAGTAACTAATTTCTCAATCAAACACAATCCAAACTGAGCACCTTCTCGTTCACTTCTTCAACTGTAAATTCAATAAAGCTTTGCTTTTGTCCGACTGGTTGATCAGCTGTAGGTGCCTTAGAGCAGATAACGGCGGCTAAGAACAAAAGAAGACTGATTAATACTAAGAGCCAAGCAACTTGTCTCCTTCGAATCCATTTTTGTCTCGTCACACAGGGGAGGAGTATTGCGTGACGAGACAACAATGGTTGTGAGGGAGACCACCAAGCGACATGCCCTGAAATGAAAGATCTGAACTACACAACTGGCAACTGCTATCGCGGAAAACTAATTTCCTGAAAAAAACTTCTTTTCCAAAAGGAAAAGAAAACGTATTGGCAGTTTTTAGATATCCTTGTCATTGACGATATCTAAACAACGTTGTTGTTCTACTGTTCGGTTCATCACACTTAGGGCATGTTGTGCACGCATAGCTTTCACGATGTAGAAAACACAGAATGACCATAGCATGCTGGCCTACGATTACAGCTCCGTCTCATTGTTCCTCACCATGCATAAGGGCCGTTTCGCGCGTTTTCCCTCTCGTGAATCGTCCCTTGAGACACCCTCGTTCCCAGGGTCCTCTCTTTCTCGCCCCACACCTCTCTCTTGCTTCGGGGGCCGAGTAGGAGAGGACCCTTGCAACGAGGTTGCCCTTCAGGCTGGTAGGGATATGAAACGGTTGTATCCCAAAGCTAAAAAAAGTACGCTTCAATTAAAACCCCAATTTGATTGTACCCACGTTTTTACGGCGAAAGTTCCCAATTCAATTTCCCAATGTTAAACAAGGGTGAGGGATATCTAATTTTTGGTTTCAGGTAAATCCAAATGGCCAGGTGGTTGCAACAGATGAAGCAACCAGCATAATTTACAACAGTACTTACTTTTTTCCGTAGACTCCTGCTCATCCTGGAATCCCAACCAGACCCTAATTTCAAAACATCTTTTATTAATTAAATCCTGAAGGTTACCATCATCTAAATTCTCCTTACCGTACCACTAATTGTTCGAGTATGTAGGTAATGAGAACAAGGCTCAAAGTAATTTTGACTGGCGCCGGTCGCGTTGACCGACCAAAGAAATTTTAGCTCGGTCACGTCTCTCCTCTGACCGGTCAAAACGTTTAGCACGGTACCAAATTGAACGTATTAGCCTAGAGAGCAAAACATTAAGTGAAAAAAAGATGCTTGTCCTCTTGAAATGTAATGGTATAAAAATGTATTTTTTTCTGGTCACTTATTTGTCCAGTCAAAATGACCGGCAAACCGAACGTTTGTCCGGAGAACTGGTCAACTTGGCCGTTATTTTAAACCCTGTGAGAATAAAGAAAATCATAGCAAAAGAGGAAACGTCTTACTGCTCTACATTTTCACTGTTAGTCTACAATCTTATTGTGGACAAAATTCTTGGGACAAATTTTCATTTCTGGGGCTTTCTTTTAATCACACATGCCCAACCCCTCCCCCCACCCCAAAAACAACGTTGGACGTTTGTATCCAGAATTTTTGCCGAGATTCAACTTTTTAGAGAGTGGAGAGAGGACGAACTGCAAGGGGTTTTCCACTGTGTTTTAAGGGCACCCCAAAATTAAAGATAACAACGAATATTGCATCACTGTACCAGGGACTTTAGTCCAGGGCCCAGTACAAGAGGAATTAAGTATACGGGGAGGAACCAGACGAATAGGTCCCGTTGTATTTGGAAGGTCGTTCGAAGGCCGATTAGCGCTAACCCAGGGTTAAATTTCAACCCGGGTTTTTTTCCTTTTTTTCAAAAGCATTTTCCTGGATAATTTTCTAGATTCTTTTCAGAGCATCTAATCATCAATTGATAGACAAAAAGAAAAAAACTGAATTTTTTTTTGTAGCTTTCATATTTGAATTGAAATTTCGCACTAACCCTGGTTTATCAACAACCCGGCCCGGGATTGTACACAGGTGATCTTACCTAAGATCTTTCACTGGTGTTTCTTCTAAGCTTTCAATCGCAAGCTGAAGCTCGTAGAATTCATTCAACAGGGCTGGAGGTTCATACTTGAGCTTCACATTTATTTTAGGCTTGCGCGGTTCAATTCTAAAATTTGTAAATTGAAAAGACTAAATTATAAACTACAGTTAGAAATTACCTAGGGGTCAAAAGTGATTGGCAGGTTACCTTGCACACGCTTACAATGGGGAGTTTAAGCAGCGACGCTTTTGAGCGATTTCCGTCAACCGGAAGTGAGCCTTTTTCTCCTTTAATATTCCTTGATGCTACCATACTTGTATTGCTAAGTGTCTTTACTCCTGGAGAGACGATTTGCCCAAGAATTTATTCAAAATCACGACCGAGGAGTTCAGAAAGTCCACTTCCGGTTGACATGCGTCGCTCAAAAACGCCGCTTCAACTCCGTAATGATCTGCTGGCCTTCAGTCTGTTTGAGCCCAAAAAAATAGGCCATTTTTTTCGGCCCTTCGAGCCCCAGTTTGGTCTAAAAATAGGGGGGCGGAGGCCCCCCCCCCCTGGATCGGCCCCTTAAGCAAACCTTTAACCTTTTTAACAACACGAACCAGACACCCGTGACAGAGCCTCTTTTAAAAGACTTACTTGATTTTAGAGACAATCCGCAGATCATCCCAATCTAGCTGGTCCTCCTTAGAGGCTGATTTCAATCCATAAGACACAAAGGAGTGATGAGTGGAAGCACCCTCCCCTCCCCCTCCACTCCAGACCAGCACAGCACACCGAGAATCAGGGGAACCCAGCTCCAGCGCCACAGAGGTTACCTGGCAACAAAACAAAACCAACATATTATATTAGGGAATTCACGCTGCCATGACAACAAAGGGAACGATTGGTAGCCATGTCCCAAAGCCACGGCAGATTATTCCTCTCACCACCAAAATGGAGGCTGACGATCGAACGCGATGGCCCAGGCATTTTAGAGCAGAGAAAGGGACTGCTCTCATTCAAAGAAAAATGTCTTGAATTATTTTATGATATTATGCATTCTTACTCTTTTAAAGATTAAATACAAACATCTAAGATGACTCACTTTGGAAATTCTTAATATTTAACCCGACCTCATACATTTTTTCCGGTATCTACTTTCCGACTTTCAGCCATTTCACAGCTGCTGATAATTGAGTTAAAATTTGAGCCACTATTACTTACTATTATTTAACCCTCAACCAAAACCCCCCTCTGGGCCTCTACGCAGCTGTTACTTGGGCAATCACATAACACCCTTATCCTCAAGCGTGACATCGACGTCACGATGTTGACATTGACATTGTTTTTGCGGGCAATAGATACAATTCTTCCTCTTTCTTGGCAGCTGTTACTTGGGTACGCAGGCAACAAGCGTGACATCGATGTCACGATGACTTGTTATTGCGTGACAACCAAACAAACGCTAGATAGGAGGACTATACCTGTAACTGTTTTCCAACATCTTCTGGTTGTGGAACAAGCATGAAAGGAATAACTTTTGTTTTTGCAGGCAATAGATACAATCCTCCCTCTCCTTGAGTTAGGCCGGACTCCACCACACACTGCTGGTTATAGAACTGTAAAGGACAAAAGGAAGAAGGTAGAGATATGTTTAACTTTTGTAAGTGGTAAATAAAGATGCCCCACTTTAGAAACGAGAAGGGAACTGGAGCTACAATGTGTCCCGCAATTGTTTCTGGGATCGTTACTGGTGACGCACCGGTCAGCTATTGGGCATTTTTTCCCGTCCCTACTAACAGTCCCAAAAGTCTTTGCGAAAGTTAACTCGCCCCAGTTTCCTTCTCGTTTCTTAGGGCATGTTCACTTGGAGCTGGGGAACCCCAGGGAAGTGAGGTAACCCTCTTAGGTGGGGTAACCTACCAGTCCATATAATCTCCTATATCACTAATTCGATCGCGTTTAGATGATAGGTGGGGTGACCATATGAGAGATTATATGGACAGGCAGGTTACCCCACCTAAGCGGGTTACCTCACCTACCTGGGGTCCCCCACCTCCACGTAAACAGGCCCTAAAGTGGCGATTGCCACTTTTTATCTACGAACGCTTCAAGTTGGTTAATATTTACCACACTAGTGGATTTAATACATGAGCTACGCTTCTAGTGTTTAAAAAAGTTGGTATGTGGCCATCTTGAAGTTTCGGTAGCATTGGACATGCCTTTGAATATGTGAAAATTTCTTTCACTTACGAGTTTGTTTTTAATATTACTTAGAAAGTATACTAAGTTTTTGACTGCAAAACACAATGTCAGGGGATAGTCCACATAAAAGCCAAAGGGAAGGATATTGTAGGATATGTAAACATTTAGGTTTACCGTCCCCACCCCCATGTTTGTATAATCGAGCATGGGCTCTGACTGTTACGATGGTTAGAATATAAATGTGTGCACGAGTTAGCAATGGCGTGTGTTAGTCAGGGTGCAAAGAAAATCATTTTTACAGCTTACCTTTCGGGCAAGCTGAAGCTAGCATTTACTAGCCCAGACGTCATTTCAAAATTGATTTCACAGTTCTTATGTTATTCAAATTCCTCAAAAAACATCACTTGCCAGTCGGGCAAGTTAAAAACAGAATTCACTAGCCCGATAGCAAAATCCACTAGCCCCGGGTATCGGACACTACTTTATTTGCACGCTGAGTTAGTGCTTTTATCCGGGTTAAATCCGAACCATCCTTGGTTAAATCCATAAAGACATTCCAGATATTCGGGACAATGCTGTTGAATTTTCTTGTTCTCTACATGTACAAACCCAGTCTCATGTCAACCTCAAAATTTGTCCATAACATTTCTTTAACTGGAGATATGTTACATTCGATTACCTGATTACTGAAAAAAACGGCGAGCTTTGAAAAACGAATTGGAAAAGGACAGGTTACTCTGAAAACAGAAAAGTAAGCAATAAGTTAAATTAAAAGAGAGATGCAGGGCTAAAAACCCTCTCTCGTTTTATTTTACCAAACAGAAAATTAAGTAGCGTGTGTAGAAAGCGTTTCCGCGCAAGTTCGGAATCGATAAAAGACATAAAAGGGGACGAGAGCGAAAAATAAGAACTTAGCAGAAACGCGTGCTACACAGTCAATTCCTGTCGAGTTAACATTCAAATGAGACCTCTTCAGCAATTCTTTGACACGTTAATATTTACTTAGTACACACTTCTAACTTTTGAGTCTGTGGATGAAATCCATAGTGTTACCATTCAAATATGACCTCTTCAGCAGTACTTTCACATGTTTTTATTTCTTTAGTATGTAGTTCTAACTTTTGAGTCTGTGGATGAAATCCTGTGGTGTTACCATCCAAATGGAACGTCTTCATCAGTATTTTCACATGGCACTATTTCCATTTTAGCAGCTTACAGAATGAAATTTCAAAGTTTTGACCAATTTTGACTTAAATCTCTACCAGGACGGAAACAGTTAACCAGCTAAATAACAAAGAAACAAGCCTTCATAGCTTTTTGTTTCATTTTTTTATGCACTTCCACATCTTCATTGACTCGAGATGTTAGTACACATAATGGCAATTTCTATTTTCTTAAATGACACATACCTCAAGTAGATTTGCAGAAGGATTGTAGAGTCTGCAGTAGTCACAGTTGAACCAAAGACAGCCTTGCATTCAACTAAAAATAAAGATCTAATCAATTTAATGTATCACATAGAATGTAGAAAACACGAGAGCTTTGGGGTTAAACCCATCTGCTAAAATACCGCGAACTGTCGCTTATAAGCTCATCCAATTAAAAGAGCCCCCGTTATAGGCTCATAGACCTGTAAACAAAAAATATATATATCCGATTATAAGCCCCCACCCCGCCGATATTAGGGAGCTTTAAGCAACAGCGACGGCGACGGCTACGAAAACGTCAATTAAAAAGTGAAGTCGCACTGCTTCACACTTTATCGCGCTCATTCCATCTTGTTCAATTCGTCAAATATTGGCCATTTTTTCTGGGGTTGAATTCTAACAGACTTATCGAAGGTCAGGAAAATAAAAAGAAAGTCGTTATGTTGTGTTCTCGTCCTCCACAAAACGTGAAAATAGGCATTTTCACGTCGTAGCCGTGCAATGACAGCAAAGAAATGTACAAAGAAGCGTGATGCACGTGCAAAGTTGTTGTTTTGCCGATCTAAGCCTGTGGCTTTTTTTTGCCGTTCTCGAAGACGTCGCCGGAGTGGTTGCTTAAGCTCCCTGATGGTACATTACTAAGAGTTCTTCAAGGAGATGTCATTAAGATGGCTGGCAAAGCACAGGTTACCGACTCACCAAAAGGAGCAATTTGTTCCATCTGTATTGTAAACACCTGGGGGGACTGTGCTGATGCTTTCAGTGTTTTCCACAGTTCTTTAGCTTCCTCCACTGCTTCAAAATCACAGCCTGGCTCAGGTTCCGGACTCTCGTTCTGTTTATGAGAGAAATAATACTGATAAATTATTATTCATTCACGATGTTTCTCAGTAACTGATTGGCTTACATCCCGTGGCTAATTCCTCATCACCACCTGAATAATAATTGTAACAATTATTGGAATCAGTTGTTCGTATGATATTTAGAATTATTAAAAACTGAATCATTGGATAATGCAATTCTAGCATTTTGATTGGCTTAGCCGTTATGGTATATGAGCTAATATACCATGTTCTCCATATATGTTCGGTGTATGCGTCAGTTTAAAATTGGAAGCTAGCTGAGATTTTTTTTCGCGAAGGATAGAACGGCGCCCGAAGCAAATCGTTTTAATCCATTTCTTAGAATACTAGAAATGCAATTTCAACGAAAGAAAAAAGACAAAAACAAACAAAAAAGCCACAAGAGCTTGTTTGAAAGTTTGTCGAAAAACACATGAAAACACATGGAACTAAAGTACCTTGACCAGCTACGAAAGAAGACAAGTGTTGTTTCTTCATGATGGCGAAGCCATTCGCCGATCGAGTAACTCGCCGATAGATAACTGCAGCTTCTTTATCCGACATCAAGAATATAAATCACAAGTAACCAGCTACAAATACAGGCTATGCTGCCATTCACTAGAGCAATCGAGGCGGCAGTATAGCTTCTTTTCTCGTTCAGCAAAACCAGCTTGTGGATTCAAACAACTTCATAACAAGCGACCGAGGTATACCGGTAATTTTTCTCCGTTGTTCTTACTTTTATAACTGCACCGAAAATCCAAATTCATAGTAATTTCGACGGCTGTCACTTAAAAATTCCTTTCCTTCACATTATCTGCCAGGTTTTTTAAGCTGTTCTGCTGTGTAAAATCCTAGAATCACGATGAGTTTTTAAAAAACTAATGTTCATCGCACAATGTTTTGATTTTTCATTCATGCAGTCTAGGCGAGCCCGGTTCGCGCGTTGACAGTTTTGATAGACGTGTGACATGTCAATAGCAGAAGTCTCTTGTCTTTTCCGGTTTGTTCTGGTCGGGGCGATTCAACGAGATTTTGTGGGCGTTTTTAATAAAACAATTATTCCACTCGGGCTTGTTGGATATGAAATGATTATAGCCAACTCGGCGCTATGCGCCTCGTTGGCTATCTATCATCTCATATCCAACGCGCCCTCGTGGAATAATTGTTAATTATACGTATCTCAGTGGTTTTTGACTAAGATTAGTAATCCCCTTTGAGAAGGCCAAGTGGGATAATTCCTGATATCACGCAACAAGCCAAACCCACCTGTTGCTAACTATTATACAGCTGGACATTTTTTTCTATCAGCAAGTTCTCTTGTGAATGTCTTTCAAGTCACAAGGAGGCTACCAATGAAAATTTTTTCCAGCAAAAATCCTGTTACTAGTGACAGTGTGAAATCTAGGACTTCAGAGAGTAAAATCACTGTTGCAAGGAGTTTGGAGTGAAAATGTTTCCCTTACCGACATGACTTGAATGAGGTTTGTCTGACATCTTGTTTTCTCCTCTGGTGAATTCTCGGCATCTGGTTGTCATTTTAGTCAAGGGGCACATGAGAAGATTAGAGATATGCAGTACACTGTAATCCTCTCTGGTAAATGTGTTTAATATTAACATTCCAATGAGAACCTTAAGACAACCACAAACACAAGCCTTATTTATTAATCCGAGAGTACCAAGTATGTCAGTATACATATTTTACTGAACCTATCAATAAAAAGGAACTTGGGCAGCTTCTCTTACCATCAAAACTAAGAAAACCATGAACACTTGAAACATGTCAGGAATGTTGACTGTGTAGTGACTAAAAAAAATGAAAAAAACCTACAAACAAATTACCATGAAGGTAAAAGCTAAAGCTCCTTACTTCATGTCCGTAACTCGTAACAACACCTGAGACCGACAGTGTGTTCATTTTACCCTTTCTCCACCATTTTACGGGTATTTAAAGCTACATAAAGCTACATGGAAAGGAAAGAAGTTAATAAAGGTTTTGAGGTCACGAATTGGGATCGAACTCAAGACCTCTCGCACAAAAGGCCGCATGCTAACCGAATGTGCTAATAATTGCTTTCTTTCCCATGACTGATTAGCTAAAACTTCCTTGGATCAGAAAAACAAGTCATTTCCAGAAATATTTCTGGTGTTCACGGTTTTCTGAGTTTCACTGACAGTAAGAGAGGTTCCCAGACACAGTAATATTGTAAGTACCTTCAATTAAAAGAAAACAGAATGATCATTTTAAAAAGATACATCTTCCCATTAACTCCAGTGAAAGGGTAACATATTCTTGGATGTTTCCAACCAAGTAAGCACATCTGAAATCAAAACGTACACATGATAATTACCTGCAGCTTAAACAAAGGGATAGTCTGCATTAATAATAATAATTTATTACTGATCCTGATACACCAAGTCCATACTCTGACATGTTCATATTATTGAGTCTTTCAATATTATTATTTTGTATGATATGGACTAATTGCAACTACCACAGTAGCGGATTCAGATCTGAAAGTAAGTGGGGAGTCTGCTCTTCCAGTCCCCAAGATAAAGGGGACAACCTTGAAAATATATTTTAGTGGCCCTCAGTTTGGCCTAGAAATAAGGTGGAGGCCAAGCCCCCCTCCCCTGGGGCCTCTCCCCTGGGACCTCTCCCCTAGATCTGCCACTGTACCATACCAAACAGTCACTTTCCTTGTCCAAAGAATACAGAGTACCTGACCTTTACTGTTCTTTTTCTCATTCTTTAGTTCTAAGTACACGGTGTTTCCGCAAATCAAATACGGTTAAAATCCGCGTATAACAACCTACAATCGACGACAAAATGAGTTGAGACACTTCGCCCAAAACTGGGCTTTTTTACGTTTTATGGACTTCAAAAGGAGGAAATATAGCTTTCCTCCCCCATCCCCTCCGTGCAATGTTGTGCCTTTGTTCTAGCTACCTATAGAAAACAACAAACACCCCAACTTTGAATGGAGGGGACAGGGGAGGGGTGCGGATTCTTTTGTTCTCCGATGTTACCCTATTTACGTACAATATCTCAACAATTTTGTCGCCGATTGTAGGTTTTTCCAAGCTATTGTAGGGTAGAGGCCTATTTAGACGGTACGATTTTTGCTTACAACTATCGTGCGCGACTAACATACGTCATTACTTAACGTCAGATCGTGTGGTGGGTGTGGCCTATTTTAGACCTATGTTTGGTATTGCACGTATAATATGTTATAAAAATCCCTGTAATCCAAGCATGTTAAAGCTGTTTATGAAGTTTATACGAAGCTATACAAGTTAAACAGAACAAAAACAACATTAAACACGGTACTGTGTTGTTGCTGGGCCAAACATGGTACTGAATTTCTCACAATAAGAACCTGTTTCAAAATTGTAGGCTAAAACAGGTTCTTATGTAAAAGGGGTCTAAATGGACAATCTTAGCCTAAAAGGTTCTTAAAATCTAGGTTCTTCCACACACGTTTCTTCTGTACCCCACCACCTAGCAATTAAAATTTGATTGAAAAAGTAAGATACCACATGTCACCAAACGGGGACTTATAGAGGATTCTAGCTGTGCATGAAACATACCGTAAGGATGTTATTAAGACTGAGGTAAGAAGCGACCACCATTTTTCTCTGCAGTAATCCCACTTCACTCTACTCAACAACCTGAAACACCAAAAATAAATCACAGTTACTGAAAGATACAAGTCCACACACAAACCACACTGTGACTGTAATTCAGGCTTGAAAGTTCAAGCCTGAATTTTTTAACTGCTTAATATAAGTTCTGTACATGACTTGGAAGATCTGACAGGTGAACTAAATCTTAAAAAATAATAAATCGTATCAAATTATAGTCTGTTCACAAAACTAAGAAACTGTAAAAATTCACCGTACAAAATGACAGCCTGAGATGTCAAATATCTTACTGGTCAAGACATTAAGGGTTGGGCAACAGAGACTTTCTGTAATATGCACTTGTCCGATTGTTACAGCAAGAAAATGTTATGACATAAATGCCCATTTAAAATATTGAAGTAGAAAGATTACAGTTACACAGTATCTCTATGGAGTTCACCCTAAACTGGATGCCTAGAGATGATCCAGGGCTGTTAATTGACTAGACTTGAAGTTGCTGCCGTAGTGGGTGTATGCAATTAGTAGGCGGGGGAATTGAACAGCTAGGAATTTAATTGGTTCTATTTTTCTTAATTGTTTCCTATGAACATAGCTGAGGGAAATCTCTTGCCCTCAGCAATTTAATAGTGATAGCCCTGGATGGTCCCTGTTGGTCAAAATTAAAATAATTGGATGATAACAAGATGAATGATAACATGTAGTGCCGATGTCGGTGGTGTCTGTTTTAGAAGGAGTTGACTGTAAAATAAAGCCTTACATCAATTCATGGTTCGCACAACTTCAGACAAAGAAATTTCACGGACTTTTCAAGGATTTTTCAAGGACAAATTACAGTTCTCAAGGACAAAGATTTATTTAATAAATCGGCATTCTTTAATTGCATTTGAGGTACAGAAATAGCATTTGAAATAAAGAAACAGAAATAAACTATTGTTCACGTACAAAAATGTTGTTACACTACCCAAAAGTTTTACAGGTTTTTAGACCGAGGATGAGTCAAGTTTTCCTCGGCAAAATAATCTAATTTTACAGAAAAAGGTGCCTGGCTTGGACAAGGATGTGAATTTCAAGGACTTTTCAAGACCTAATAAAGAAATCAAGTACTTTTTAAGGACCTAAACCGAATTTAAGTACTTTTCAAGAGCAACTAGTGAAATTCAAGACTTATTGAAGATTGTACAAACCATTATCATAACGAAAACTCCATGTGAACTTAACTTACATTAAAGCTTTGCTGAAGTCTCTGGCATGATAGTATTCCTCACCCATCTGGACCACTAACAAAAATTTAAAGAATAAATGCATGTACTAAGAGAAGGTAAATACCTGGTAACCTGTTTGAATGTGCACCTTATTCTCACTTAATTTTGTGAGGCAAAAAATCATTAGTCATATTTTGCGAGGATTTAATTTCGCGATTTTTATGTCCTTTAATACGTAAAGATAACTTTTGACCTCAGAACAGTAGCAACAGAATTAATAATTTTATCGTAGACAACAGCAAACAAAGACAATTACAAACAAAAATAAGTTAAGCATAACAAAACATACAGGTACATGTAAGGTTTTCAACAGTCTAAATAGGCACCCACAGAAAGTTACATAGTAAACATTTCCAGTCTGATAAACTTTTCTTTCTTTCTGCGGCAGGATTAGCTCAGCTGGTAGAGAGGTGGACTGCATGGCGAGGGGTTGTGGGTTCGATTCCTGAGGCTGGACCAATACACAAGGCGTTAAAAAATAACTGAGAAATGAAGATACCCCCTTTGCAATGCACGCAGCTAGACCTTTGCGTGGCTTGGATGATCACATAAAATGGCAGTCCAGTCTCCAGTTGGAGACGCAAAAATAGTGTCCACAATTAGTACTTTTGTGCTAAATATGGTCAAATTATGTGCTTTTTTTACTATGTCAAACACTTACTGAGATATCTTTTCATCCTGGGAGACTTGTATTTTTTGAATTGAGCCACTGCACTGCTAAGAAGAGGAATTATGATCCACTACAACAAAAAAATCCAAGAGATAAAGTCAGTCTACAGAAGAAAGTACGGATCTTGAACAGGCTAATAAAAGCTGGAACACACCAGGCAACAAGTTGCAGCAACACATCGCAGCAACCAATTGTTTTGTGTGTACTGGAGAATTTTTGTGAAAAGTTTTATCACTGTAACAGAATTATGTCTTGCAACAAGTCATACAAAATCAGATCAGACTGAATTTGTTTGACTTGTGGCGGCAACAAAATTCTGTTGCTGAGACAAGATTTCCACAAAAATTCTCCAGTACACACACAAAGCGATTTGTCGTTGCACCGTGTCGTGCAACTTAGCACCCGACCAGTACACACACAGTGATTTGCCCAGCGACTTCAGGGCTAAAAGTTTAAATTTCAGGTTGGGAGCAGTTATGCTACCAGATGTAAATTTTTAGGCGCACAGCTGAAAATTTTAGGAGCACAGCTTATAACGTTGGGAGCATCTATTTCAAAAGAAAAAGTAAAAAGCTTAACAGTGCCACGTTTATTTGTCATCTTCAGTTTGTTACTTTCACTTCAGTCCTGTGATTGATAAAACACAGCCGATTTGCTACGCAGTAATACTACCGTTTTGATTTTTAATACTAATTTCTCTTATTGACAGTACAGTTGTGACTAAAGAAAACTTACAATTGAAAAACAATTCAAAACTGACAACAATGAGTGTGTCGAACGAGAATGAAAATTAATCTTTAATGAATTTGTTACATGCGCAATGACTTACATGTAACTGGAATACGACTGAAAAAACTTTCTTCCCTGGAGAAAAAGGCTCTTAATCCGCACTGTTTTTGTTTTGATTGACGTTAAAACTGAACGTTCGACATGATCGTCCATTGGGAAAAAAGTACGTGTTTCGTTCGTAGCATATATTTGCATGTGTCAGCGGTGTTTATTACAAAACAGAAGAGTCTGGGATGGAGTAAAACATCGAAACGTTCGTAGAATCCATTAGGATAAAAGACCAATTAAACATACACCGTCTTTCTAGTTCGAGTTCGTAAGTATAGTCGGAAGTAAGTCAGTCGCACTGTGCTTTGGGTTTTACGGCGCACAGGTGCGATTACACATGAATTTTTGGGCGCACAACCAAAAATCCAGTCGCATATGCGACCAGTTAGTCGCTAACTTTGAGCCCTGTTCAGCTTCATGCCATCTTCTGAGTCCTGACCTTATTAGGAGTTACCACACAGCTGCATTAGTTTACTTACAGAGTGATCCACCTGTATTTCCTGAGCCTGCAGTGCTATTATTCCAGCATGTTCTATCGCTGCATCTGGTGGTTCTGTGCCTAGTAATAAAAAGAACATCAAAACTGAAATTCTCATTTGCTGCCTTGTACATTTCCCATAAAAATAGTAATGAGAACTATCAAAATAATATTCCTCCTGAGTGGTCATGTCCTTAATTCCTGTCTGGGGTTTTGTGTTTAAAATTTTGGATTTGGGGACTTTTTTGGGTAGGAAAATTTTGGCAAGTATTTTTTGGGCGACAGCTTGATTTAAGTAGGGATTTTTTTGGGTATTCAAAATTAATGTTTCTATATTTCGTGTTATACCATTTAATGCTTTCTGGAAATTTTTATGGCTCGGAAATTCGGCATGGGATGTTTTTGGGGTTAAATATTGGTCCAGGGATCTTCTTGGGTTTTGATTTTTGCCCCCACTCGATCATCCCTGTCACTTGAAATCTGAAGTACCCCCCCCCCCCTTCCCCTCGGGAATTCCCGTGACCTTTCTGTTTTATAGAACACTAACATTACAAGCAACCAGCAAGTCAAGCGGTTAAAAAAGGCAATGCGGTGAATGGTGTATGCTGTAAATAATATAATTATTACCATTGCCTCCTAAACATCCCTGACAAAAAAAAAAAAGAAAAAAGAACTGGAGAGCTTGAGAGGTGTATTTAATATATCTCATGGTTCCGTTTTTGCCTCTGCTTCATATTTCTTTTCCTTTACTTTATTTGGTACACTTTATTGGAAGAATTATGGAGATCAAGGAGGGTGTTAATGAAAATAAGTTTAAAAATATTGAACAATGGATAAAATCAAGCCACAACATTGACATGTATGTTTCAATGCTTATGACTGGATACAAACCTAATGGTTAAACGATAAGGTGTAAGAAGCTTAGAGATACACAAAAGAATTTAACTGCATTCCAATTAAAACTAAACAAACCTTGAAACCCCTGTCTCCATGGTCTTTGGCCAAAAAAATCCAGGTTTCCAGCATTCTCTAAAGGATTCATGGACAGTGGGGTGGTGGTCTGAAATTGAATGAAAAATTTAACTACACATGTTTAGTCCCGTTTACATTATTATTATTTTTTAATTTCTGCTTTTATTGTATTATCCTAATAAAGAGAAATCATGTAACTCATAATATTGGAGAGCAAGGGATGGTGCAATGGTGAGAGCGTTCACCTCCCACCAATGTGGCCCAGGTTCAAATCCCTGCTTCGACTCCATATATGGGTTGAGTTTGCTGTTGCTTCTCTCCCTTGCTCCGAGAGGTTTTTCTCCGGGTACTCGGGTTTTCCCCTCACCTCAAAAACCAACATTTCCAAATTCCAATTCGGCCAGAAATCAGGTAGACGAAGAACCACTTTGTGGATGTGCTACCTCCAAAACTTTATTATCATTATTATTTTATTGTTATTATAATTAAAATACTACAGCCACTGTACTACTAATAATGACGATGTTGATGACGATGATGATGAATGTACTTTTCAATTAAAAAAGCCATTTTTCACCAAGAAAATAAAGAATATACTACAGTATGAATGTAAGTACTTACATGGCACAAGCCTTGACACAGCTGTCTCCTGAGTATAGCGTTGTTGGCTGCTTGTTGGTAGTAAAATCCTGGATGTTGGGTCTGCAATGAGATATATTTACATTTTGGTAATCAGAATTAACATAAGTTAAACTGTCAAGCAAAAGTTGTTTATTGCAAACTCACCGATATTATTAGGGAGTTTCTGCAATCATAAAAACAACAGCTGTGGAATGATTACTTAAAAAGTGAATTCACACTGTTTCAAACTTCATCATGATTATTCCATTTTGTACAATTTGTGCAATATCGGTAAATTTTTCTAGGGGATGAATTCGGAAGAACCATATCTAATTTCACAAAAAAGTCATTGTCTTGTACTTAGGTCCATCAAAAAACATCGCATTAGTGAAATTCTCGTTATAGTCTCGAAGTGGAGGAAAAGGAATTTACTAAAAACTATGAGGCACAGGCAGAGTTGTTGTTTTGCTTATTAAACTTATTGGGTTTTTGACGTTTACCATACCATCGCTGTTTAGGATATGTACACTCCCCTATTACTATGTGAATATTTAACACACCTGCAAAGCTGTCAAACCATTCCTAATGGCTTCATCGAACAACTCACCAAATAAACTAAATCTAAAGGGCAAAACAGAACAAAACATAGTTGCAGTCCAGGTTAGTGCAGTAAAAACATGTACAGTGCAGCTCAGAAATAACCGTCCAAAAATTTGCATGTATATATATACGCGTCTGCGTCTGAGTGTGCATGCATTTTCAGCACGTCTGATTAAGGTGTATGAGCCAGCTTATTGTCTACTTATTGTTCTTATTTGTTGTTAGTTTTAGTGGCAGATGAATAAACTTTGATCCGTCTGAAGGATCAACGTATGTGTATATTCTGGTAGCGAAACAGACATTCTTTTCAGTTAGAAAAGAGTAGTCTTTTGTTCAGCCAAACAATGAAACACTAAGAAAACTACTGGCCATGAATCAGGGGTACCCAACGAGGATATAGTTCAAAACCACTTAACATAGCATTGTTGAACGTATTTTAGTATTTCAACGGTAGATATAGGCATATTTTTATCCCCTAAAAACTTTTCATCTGTTCGGATTTCCTAGCTGAAAGTCTAGTGATCCGAAAATTATAGGGATCAAAACTTACCTTTTCGAAAATTTCAGCCAGGAAAAGGCTCCAGAAAATTCTAGGTCACCTTTTTACGTTAAAAATCCGTTAAAAATGGGCAATTATACCATTTTGTAGATGTTCGAAAATCCTAGGAGAGGCAGGCAAGCAAGAAATTTTACAACAAATGTTCCGAAAATTCTAGTTCTCAAATCGTCTTCCGAACAGATATTTTCCCGAAAATTGCCGTTGGGTGCCCCTGATGAATAAGAAAGGAAAACGCGCAAGCGTGTCCACGTGTGCATGCCAACGCATATATCCAAAAATGGTGTGTGCATTTTGAATGAATAATAATGTGCTTTTATCTTTTCATGGGTTGTTTGGGAAAGAAACTGTATTAGGCTTGTAGTTATAATGGATGCAAGCTGTTGCGGAGTCAATCTTCAACATATATCTTGCAAAGCTAATATTAAAACAAAGTTCAAACACTCACTGTTTGGACAGCCAAGCTGAGTGTTCAAATGCAAGTTCTGCAGCGCCAACTTTCTCCTTGAATAAGTCTACATGTTTTCTGAACTGTGATATGGCATCCAATGGAGCTGAAGCTTGAAAACTTAGACGACAGATCTGCAGGATACAACATCACTGGTGGTCAAAAACTACCTTATATTGGTACATGATTTCGCAGGTACTTAATTTCACGATTTTGGTGAGACAGTGTTTCGCAGGATTTAATTTTTGCGATTTTAACTAGTAAACATGAAAAAAGGGCACTAAATTTTGTGATTTAAGCATTCTCAACTTCATTTTCTTTTTTTATGGTAGATAGTCTGAACCTTTGAGACAATAAGATAAACTGGAACAAGCAATGTGTGAAATCTTTCACAATGGAAGATACAAAATGCAGAAAGCAATTTGTGTTTGTTGATACATATCATTGCCATTACATTTCAACTGTTATTTGAATTTTCTATCTGGGTATTAAATTTCACAAGGATTTATTTTTGCAATTTTTTTACAATCGCAAAAAATGTGAAATTAAAAGACCTAAAAAATTAAGTACCAATAAGGTACACTTTACACCAGGAGACAGCAGGGCCAAGCAGTTAAAGCACTGAACCTGTAATGTGGAGTCCTTAAGTTCAAGTCCCCCCCTGAACACTACCTGGATCTGCTCTTAGTAGTTCCGGGTTCAAATCCTAGACCATGCTGATCACGGCTGCAAATAACAGTTGGGCATTGGACATTGGCCAACCTAAGATTTTGCTGGTGTTCGACAAAATCCAACCTGTGTTTGGACAACATTCACTTGGGTAATGAAGTCTTCTTTTACATCAGTGTAGCATGTTCTCTGCTTTTCCCGAAAGGTAGCATAATGCTTTTTGAAAAGTAGCGAGATGTTTTGTTCATATTTTAAGGATACAAAGTTCAACCTTGTTTTTGGTGATGTCCAACTAAAATTTTGTTTTGTCCATTCAAGATGGTGTCTTGCTAGGATGACATTATGTCCTTTCAAGAAAAAAAAAAAAATTGGCAGCCCTGATGCTTGTAAACTAACCCACTGGTTCACTTCCTTCCAGATGGATTCTAAACTTCAGTCTTACAGTCAAACCGGGAAAACCATGAACACCAGAAATATTTCTGAAATGTTATTGTGGTGCAAGAAAAAAGCCAATTGGGCATGAGAAAACTAAACTGCAAACAAGAATGTTAATTAGTTTGTGGTTTGTAGCTTGCTCGCATGTCCTGATCTTTGCTGAGATTGGTCGTAACACAATAAACATTCCTGAAATATTTCAAGTGTTCAAGGTTTTCCCAGTCGCACCGTAAGTTCCATTTGAATTATTTGTTTCATTAACCCTGAAAAGCCTCAGAAGGAGAGAGGGTATTTGACTTTTGTTTTCTTTTATACATTGCTTAATCAAGAAGTGATATTACCGGTAAAACAACTTACTACACTATATGTTTTTAATCGTCTGTAGCTTAAAGATGAGAACTTCTCCTGTGCATGTATGATAACAAACCTTGTAATTTACAAACCCTGCAACAACTTTAATTTCAAGCATGTTGATGTCACTTGTCTTGAGTTCTCCTAGAAGCCCATATGCTTGCCGATAATGTCTGGAAATACAAAAATGCTTTATTAGTTTTGTTTGTGTGCAACAACAAAGTTGTGCAAAGAATGAATTTAAATTGTTACCATATAATCTCCCCAATGGGATGAAAGATACAGGGGTGGTTAGCGTCATTACATGTAGTTATAATGACTTGAATTGAAGATCTCAGTGATGTCCAACTGAGACAGGCCATATAATTTGAATAACTGAACTGATGTAGTACTGTGTAAAGTCAAAGGTAACAAGTTTCATTCAGGGATTATGCAAGGGAAAAAGGAAGATCAACAACAGTTTTAATGAGATTGACAGATGAGGAGTATGACATGTATGGCAGCCACTTGGACACCGTGTACAATTTTGTACATAAGAGTCAGATGAGCAATTGCTCTTCATTCTACAAAGGACTGCTGCCATCCAGTGGTACTGATCATGTCTGTTACCCTTGACTCCCTATTGTAGTTACCTGAAACAAAGTGAGCTGCTTGCTGTTGCATAAAGTTATTATTAAGTAATTAATTTTTACTCAGGCTGAAATCAGGAGGACTGTTGTGCAGGTGCTAAATCTCTCAGACAGGTTGACTTGGTTAAACTTACTTTATAGCAGAGTGAGGATCTTGTCGCAGTTCGTTAAAGAAGGCAATCTTAAACTGGTGCCGTACCAATAATAACTGAATAAAATAGCAAAGACTATTAATGGCAGACAGAGAAGAGCTAATTTCATTCCCAAACTTAACACCAGTAACAAATAAAACGATGTATTGTAAAAGAAGATAAAATCTTATGTAGAAAAAGTTCCAAATTTTAAATTGTCCATGCAAGAGTTTGTCTTGTTAAAACATAATGCTAACAGGAATGAATGGACAACTGAGTGACTAATCAAAAATGAACAAATATGCAGGTAGAGTCCAATAGTAATATAAAAATTATATTGTTTCCTTTACAAGCATGATTACAGACAAGAGTGGGACAAGGGCATCCTGAAACCAGCTAATTCAATAAAACTGTAGTGCTTTTAAAAGCAGCAAGTTTGTCTAGTGCCTTTTTTAAAGACTTTATGTGTGTAGTTTTTATTTAATCTAACAGTGATACAAACCACAGAAAAATTGTACAGTTTAGTTAGTGGGTGGTATTAACAGTGTGGTTGCTTGGGTACCTAATTATATACTACAGACTTATGGCTGCGATATGAATAACATGGGGGAAAACAAGATATTCCTTTAGTGTACATGTATCATCTTAACAGTCAGTCTTAATTTAAAAATCATACAACTTCCAGCTGCAATGATAACTTCTCACCTGATGGGTTCCTTTATTGAGAAATTCCTAGGAAATATAAAAGAAAAATAGTTTATTTAAACAAATGATAAATAAAAATAATATTTATCATGAGTGAATTGAAATTTTTTCTCTCTTTTCTTCGATAAAAAGAATAAGATTACTGGAAATATAACTCTATAAGTTATGCAATATTGAATTAAATGCAGAAGTGATCACCATAGATGTGTACACAAGTTTAAAACAGTGCATAGAATCTTGAAAAGAATTCTGAGCTTTAGCTTGTGAAATTTACCTTATGGGCTTTAACTCGTCTGCATTCTCCATGATAGTAGCTTTGTGCTAAGTCATAGAAAGCATTTTCCAGCCTGAAAGAAATGAAATGGTGACAGACTATTTTCGTAACATTACAACAACTACATCAGTTTTTCTGTACATGTAAAATTAGTGTTTAAGGCCCTGTTTATTACAAAGCAACGTCCCAAGAAAGAGTGTCACCCTCCCAGCCGGGTCGACTTTAGCGAGGGTCTATGTGAGAAAAAAGTTGACCCCTTTGTCAACAGCACTTGCCCATGCTCTGATTGTCTCGTCTTGACTGCCGAGGTTTTGCTTCAGGCTGGACGCTGGATGCAACGTGATGTTGTTTGACATGTAACATCCCTTTGTTCACACACAAAATAATTAGTTTTCAAACATTTTCACTGATAGAGTGCCAGTAAACTGAAATTTCTGATGAGTCAATGCAATGACTGGACTGGACATTTTAAATACTATCCGTAAACCATCTGTCATCAGGGATTCATACACTCTTTCAGATTGGAAATTCAGTTTGGAATCAACTAAAAAAATGAACAACTTCACGCTGATTAAATTTATTTATTTATTTCATTTTTTTGTGAGCATTTTTCCTGGTTAACCAATTCCTGTCCAGGGAATGCAGTAAATAGCATTTTAGAGAGTCCAATTTTAAAAATTTCCCAAGGGAGCATGCCCTAGGACCACCCAAGAAGTTTGCTCCTCCTGCACTCAATGTTTGCACCTGTGGAACGAATGATGCAAGTCCCCCAGCTGAACCTCTGCATCTGGTACTTCAAAATGTTAATGAAAACCCTGTGCCTGAGTTGATCTGGCTGGGCAAGTGGAAGTGTTCATATGGATGAAAGTTAACCAAGCAAGAAGAGCCACCCTACCAATTGAAAAAGGGTGACCAGGCTATATGGGTCATCCTTTTAGCTGTGCCAACTTTTTGTTTTTTAATTTCTCAATTAAACAGCTTGACACATTTTGTACGGAAATCCATGAAAAGTTGGCTCACCCTGGGTAGCTTGGGTAGGGGCAAGACCCTTCTAGCCCTGCAGGGCTCGAAATTAACTTTTTCGTTCGGGAGCCAGCTGGCGACTAACGGAAAAATTTTGGTCGCCAGATCGTAAATTTTGGTCGCCAACTTATTTTATATATAACTTACACAAGAACACGATTTTATACGTTACTTTGCATGCAAGAAAAGTCACAACTGAAGAGCGAAAACAATTAGAAACAACACGAGTAACACTTAGTTATAAAGCTACCGTTGTTCTCAGGTGATATGTCTCTGGTCCGAAGGTGATGGTTGTCTCCAAAGTCATTTTAAATGAAGCGAAGCATAAAACGTTTTAAGTCCGTGGTTTTCATTCTGAGACAAACACGGGTCCTTGTGTATTTGCCCTTTGCTACTTCTACGAAATGCCGTTCTATATTTTCGACTTGCTTTCCTCAACGCCTTTCGCTGCCGACAAACAACGCCATGCTTGGCCCAGGCCTCTACACAACCACATTGCTCGTACCAGTCTCCGACCGGGAGGAAACAAAAATGGGCTTAGTGCAGTTTTTGGGTCTTCGTTTCCCTTTAGACAGAACGTTTTAGGAAAATAAAACCTAAAATGTTGCGGGAGTTACGGAGGCACCGTATCTGCCACCATTTTTTGTTGTTGAAGTGCGCCTGCGACCCCAGTTTCGGAAGAAGCCGCTGAAACAATATGGCGCGCCCTGAACGCAGTATCGACGTGTCGAAATACATTCCATTTTTTCGATTATCTTGTAATATTCAGACATTATTTTACTGGGGACGGAAAGGTGAGTTGTATACTAGCTACCATATCCGATTGATTTCCAAATATAAAGATTTAAAAACAAAAGTTGTGTCGTGGTTTTCTTTAGTCATCGGACAAAACGCGAGTCGCCAGCTGGCGACCAGTTCTGAAAATTTAGTCGCCAGTGCTCAATTTTTGGTCGCATTGGCGACCAGTGAGTCGCAATTTCGAGCCCTGCCCTGAACAACGTTTCTCCATATAAACAAGGCCTAACTATTTTTGATTAGATAAGGAGTAGAATTAACAACTGGTGAATGCATATTATAAAGTCAAGTAAAGGGAGAGGGGGGTGGCGTAAATTTGGTAGCTGATATTCAAGCTTGGAGGATAAATGAGTCTCTTTATGGGTATTTCCAACAAAATCAAAGTCACGACGATCATCATTGATGAGGTGATGATCTCACTGCTGTTTCAATCAAGTTTGACGATGTAAGTCTTGCAATGATGACAAAAAAATCTGGCAAAAAATGTGCTGCACATTCAGAGTTTTTTTTTTTTTTTTTGCTTTTTTTCTTGTTTCTGTCATCATAGTGGTTCTGCTGATCTTGCTAGTAGCGTTACCACACAAAACAATTCAATACGGAACAATTTTGGAAAAGACACGACGGGACTTACCCACACAGAAACTCATTTGTGAAGTTGTTTCATTCTGCAATTATATTATACCTGATTGTATATCCTATCAAGTGATCTGTATGTGGGAGAACAAACAGAGACTTGGCAGACAAATCACAAGCACTGCAGAGTGTGGCTGCTCTTTCCAGAGCCTGCATATCATCACCTGTAGTATAAAGCATTCACAGAAACCAAAATGCAGAGACCTCTCACCACCTAATACACTATATTGATCTACTGCTGGTTAGATTCAGGTCCTTTATTTTAAAAATGCAAAACCCAGGTTTAAACTCCATTCAGGAGACACCTTAGCACTTAAAAGCAAGTGACCACAAAGAGAGTTAATAACCTCAAGTGTACACTAATCACAATGATGTCATCTTTCACAACATGAACTACCTCACTTAAATCAATGCACTGCACTTGTGGAAATTCAACACAAAATATTGCAAAGATAAATTTATCACAGGGTGCAAAGAAAGCCAGTTTTAAAGCTTGCCATTTGGGCAAGCTGTACTAGCCCGAATGTCATTTTAACTAGCCCGAAAAAAAATTGATGAGCAGGATTGATTGCAATTCTTCTGTAATTTGAATTCCCCGCAAAAAATCACTCGCCCATTGGGCAAGTTAAGAACAGAATTTACTAGCCCAATAGCAAAATCCACTAGCCCCAGGCTTTCGGACACCACTTTCTTTGCACGCCGTTATCATGATTGTTTATACATTATCTAGCTGCCTCAGAGGCAGAATAAGAAAAATTATATGTTAATTTGTCTGTTTATTACTAACAAACCCAACCTCCATTAAGGATGCACTTCTATTCAAGGGACACTTGCTTCAGTCATGAGGGTGTCCCCTGAATAGTGGTTCCACTGTATTGATATAAAGGAGCTTAAGCAACAATGATGTGAATTTGCGCTGCTTCAAACGTTATCACGCTTCATTCCATCTCTTTCAGTTCTTCAATTGTTGGCAATTTTTTTCTGGAGTTGAATTCTAAAAGACTGAATCAAAGTTCAGGAAAAGAAAAATGAAGTTGTTGTCTTATGTTCACATTCTCCACAAAACGTGGAATTTTGGCATTTTCATGACATAGTCGTGCAGTGACAGCAAAGAAATGTAAAAAAGAGCATGATGCATGTGCAGAGTTGTTGTTTTGCCAATCTAAACCCACTGCTTTTTTGGCATTCTTGTTGACAACGCCATCATAATTGCTTAAGCTCCCTGTTGATAGAAGAAAATAATTATTGATCTTGATTACTCTAAAGACTTAATGGGTTATAGCAGCAAATGGCCTAACAGAAGTCATAGACTGTACATGTGTGATTCGCTGTGCTATATACCTGGTGGAAGAGGTGCATTCTTTTGGATCAACACTACAGCTACCTTGGTGTTTTGGTCCTGTAGACTGCTCCTGTTAAGAAAGAGGACATAGGTGAACTGAGAATGGTAAATACTGTGAGATATTAGTCATAATACTATTTTCACAAAATAGCATCATCATCATCATCATCATCATCATCATTATAGACAGCCTTTCAGTGAAACAGCACCTATGGCTCCCTTCAACCATTTCCATTTGTTATCTTCAATCAGATATCTTCAAGTAATTCTCACCCAACATCTGCCTTTGAGGTGTCTTTGTCGCAGGTCAAAAGGAAATTCAGGAAAAAATGGTTTCAAATTAGTTTGATTCTTATTAGTTTCCTAATTTTCTGGTTGCTGTTACAGATATGTTGCATGTGTATGTATCCAGCACTCATTTGATCGTTCTATCTCCTGTAATCTCATCACACCTGTTTTGACCTTCCATTATGCAAGGCACAGCACTGGAGCAAAAGCGTTTGCATCCATCTTATCCGCACTTCCTAACCTTTGGCTTTTACTAGTTTCCTAGCACTAATAATTATTATTCATGATGATATTGCAAATGATTATTAAGGTTAGGAAATGAAGGAAGATGAGAATCAAACTAGGTTTAGACCATTTTAACTTGTATTTCATTTTGCCCTACAACTTGTATATATTCAGTGGAACCTCGATATTTATAATGAAAGGCCGATGTTTTATGATGGACCTTGTCGTAGCAAGCATATTTTGCCAAGACCTTGGCCCTTTTCCTTTCCAAGGTCATTTTCCTTTTTCATGCCCTCGAGACCCACACTGTCTGTCCTTCTTAGAGAGGCATCCGTCTTATTGAGATTCAACTTGAAGAAGTACACAAAGGGCAGGGACCAACTCTAGATGTCTGTTTAAGTGGGATGTATATTTTATACAGGAGCTGGTGTCTTTTAAGAGACAGGTGACAGTACCGACGTTTAAAATGAACGTAAGACAAAGTATACAATAGAGAGGACAAGATTAGTGTGGTGTCAAGTTACCATGGTAGCACTACTTCTAGATGACAACAAAACCAACGATGGTGGCAATGGCAAGGAGAACAGCAAAAAATAATATGTTTATATTGGCAAACAACGACTTTGCAGGTGCATCATGCTATTTGTACATTTCTTTGCCGTCATTGCACCACTACAACATGAAACTTCCTAATTTCATGAGCCCGCTTTATTGAGTAGGTGGACACAACAGAAAAATTGTCGCTTTCTTTTTCTAAACTTAGATAACAATAGATACGGTCCCAAAGAAAATTTTGCCAAGATTTGCCAAATTAAATGAAATTAAATAAGATCGGTAAAGTTTGAAGTAGTGCAAATAGACTTTTAAGTGACTTTATTAGTTACTTGTCATCAAAAAATTTTGCTACTATGGCAACGTGACGTAACGACTTCTCCTCTCTATTATGTATCTCATTTAAGGACCTGCCTGAAATAAAGCCTATATATACAGCAAAAAAACACTGTACCTGACTTTTTCCAATTTTGACGCACATTCAGTTTGTTTTTCTTTCCACTGAGAATCATCCCAGTCCAGTTCATAAAACATCACCACCACAGCAGGGGAAAGGTAAAGATGTTTGTGCATCCATTTTGTCTTCAAGATGCCTTTCGGTATGTACCATTCATATGTGGAGCGCTGGAAAATGGAAATAAATCTTGGTTATTATAAAATATACAGTTAGCAAGGAGACAGCGTGGCCAAGTGGTTAGAGCACCAGACTTGCAGTCTGGAGGCCACAAGTTCAAGTCCTGCCCTGAACTCTGGACTACTGTGAACAAATTTTGTTCACAGTAGTCCAGAGTTCAAATCCTCGGCCATGCTTGTAAAGAGCCAGCTGGTTTGCCTCCAGCCAGTTGGGATTCTTAACCCTGTTAAGTTCAATTTGAATTATTTGTTTCACGCATTTGCTCGGCCCCACTAGCATTAGTGCTATAAACACTGCTGACGGTAAATAACAGAATTATCATTATTACTGTTGTTTAATAAAGGAGTTGCGGTGCTGTAAGAACTGGGTGTAAGACCATGAGCAGTCTTTTCTTTTATACTCAGAGCCATACTTGGTGAGTGAAAATGTAATAATGTGCAAATTTATGGTTAAAGGGAGGAAAGATTGCTAACATATCTCGAAAATCCTCTGACAAATTTTTGTGAAACTTTTCACAACAGAAGACTAGCACCCAAAGTATTCATAGCATAAAGCATCTACAAAGAAAATGCTGATTGATAAGGGCTGAAATTTGATTTAGAGCTCAGACAATTGTGGCATCATTTTTACATAAATTTTAAATTTTATTTCATTTGTCCAAAAAATAATTGCTGGTTTGCACTGGACATCATGGCTGCTATGTTGAAGGTCAAAAACAAGAACATTTCTATCTCCTGGAAACTCCATGTAAATTCTTTTGAATATTTTTTATTGTATTAACCACCACTGAGGCCCTGCCGGGGGAGGGGGGAGGGTGCCATGTCAGCTCATCTGAATTTTAAAACTTCTAATGTCGGTGTTTATAAATGCTTCATGTTGCTGTCAGAAATTGAACAAAAATTCTTTGTCTTTGTTGGAATTGTAGAAAAGGGGGATAGCGATGCACTGTAAAGAAACCATTGCAGATCTGCAATTTCTCAGTTAACATTTTGCGTATCGAACACCTATACATCGCCATTCACGAATAAGACAATTCACAGGAGGGTCCACTGAAGCTCACTGACAACAGACGTTCTCTGAAGAGCAAGGAATATTGAAGAAAATCTCTTCTTCTTGGCATTCAAACTGGTGATAAATTAACCAAACCACCGTTTTTTGTCACTTATTCTTGGCTTTGCTGTCAATTTCTTTCTGGCAGGAGGCAGCGTGGCCGAGCAGTTAGACCGCTGGACTTGTTATTCGGAGGTCCTGAGTTCAAGTCCTGCCCTGACCGCTAGCTGGATTTGTTCTCAGTAGTCCCAAGATCAAGTCCACAGCCACGCTTGTAAATAGCCAACTCGTTCGCCTCCTACCAGTTGGGATTTTTAACCATGTTATGTTCCATTTGTTTAATTATCCCTGAAAAGCCCCAAAAGGGGAGAGGATAACTAAAGTATTATTGTTACTGTTACCACTGTTGCAATTTTGGCTGAGGGAGGTTGTCTCTTGTCACGATTTCTTTTTACCCTCTGTCGCCACTTTTTGGGTCATGTTGCTTGTTGGAATCTACCCTGGCAGGGCCTCACCAACATGGCTGCCATGTCACATGGTTGCAAACCAAGAATATCATAATAAACTTTAGTCTGTGTGTAATAGATGTGTTGTAACGGTTTTGAAATAAAGATCAATTCTTTATGTATAAGAGATTCAAAGATGGAAGGTGTGCCTACAAATATAAGAGTTCGAGCCATCTTACATGAAATGACCGCATGCAAGCTAACCTCCCACGCAGGTGTTTTTAGGGCAGCTCGTGTTTCATCCCTCCCCACAAATGCCTGCTCAACCAAACACAACATTCCTTTCCTATGCTTAGCCAATCACATTGTACTTTCCAATTTCTGGAAAGTTGACCTTGACCGCAAGGTAATCTGATGATTACTTGATCTGCAAGAAACACTGGGAAAGCTTTCTGACCTCTAGTAAATGTTAGATTCAGAGCGGCAAAAATAAGTTTTAGTCAATTTTTAGATTACTCCATGCACTGCATAACCTTAGGGAAGGAGAGAAAAGAAACAAAACGGTAACTCTAGGGTCACGTTTTAGACGCGTTTAGCCTGTCAACAGTTTATTGTACAACCGTTGATTGGTCACTTACCATGCAAATAAAACAATGGGAAAGGGAATGTTGTTTTTGGTTGAGCAGGCATTTGTGGGGAGGGATGAAAAACGAGCTCCCCTAAAAACACCTGCATGGGAGGCTACATGCAAGCAGCTCCTAAATATCATTTGGAAAACAGTGGATGTACCAGGTGGTATAAGACCTCAAATAAAATATTGTCTTGTCTTGTCTTGGCTTATGTATATGTATTCTCCTTTCCTTATACATACGAACCCCATTAAAATATTACGTACGAATAAATTACTGATTAAAAACCTTTAAAACGAACCCAGTACAATAGAAAATCCGACGAGTAGGCAAGAGTCAGATCCCACCTACCTTTGACTTGGCTTTGGGAAACTCGTGGTCAGTTGACAGCAATCTAAAAGACAGCGGAACTCTTTCCGGATGCCTGTTCACAGAAAAAGACTCCCAGATGGCTTTATGTAAAGGTTTGTTGTGTATATCCAATCCTATAAGCGCTACAAGGCCAAGTGGTCGAGTAGCTAGCTCTGTTGGAAATTCACTAGCGGCCGCCATGTTTCCTTTAGGGCAAGTAACCAGGCCTTCCTTTTTTTTGCCCAGTTCAGTCGGGGATCGCGGGCGGCGTTGGGACGGTATAAAGCGGTATCAGCTCTATTCTCGGTTTTCACATGACGTCATCAAAATTCAAACTAAGAAACTATCGATTCTTCTGAGACTCTGAGTTTCATGAGGTATTACAGCACCTAAACACCTTTATTTAAACAGAGGTTTGGTTCGAAAGGATTCTTCGTTTTGCGATAGAGGACGTTTGAATTTCTAGGCTTTTGCGTGACGCGGCATTTAGCTGGCGGCCGGGACTGCTCTTCTGTGGGTTAAAAACATTACCAGTTTTGGGAGATTTTGCTATCTAAACATTCCTTCTGTCAGAATAAATATCACTTTAATAGTTTATGAGTTTTTTAAGCGATGAATTAACGCATTAGTAGGAAAACTCAAAAACGGATGTTTCTGTTGGTTTCCGGCGGCCATATTTGTGCCCCTCAAAGGGACACAAACATGGCGCCTCCATACAAAGCTTTATAAATTTGGGTACAACGTTTTTCCTAATATCTCGCATATGAAATATCGCACAGACCTGATTCTTGGCAAGGTCTTTTGCTTATTTATCTTCTTTTATTTCCAAGATTCGGGACTTTCTGTATCGAATGGTTTGCAATTTTATTTTTGATTGCGTGACAGTGAAAACCGAGAATAGGGACGGGCGTTGGGTTGGTTTTGAGGACGAGGACGAATACGAGATTTACCTTAGTAACGTTTTTGCGCGTGTTCTAAAAAAAAAGACACCTCGGAAAGCTTCCTTTTACTTTGTTCACTAAAAAAGTTAGTGCGGTTATTTATGCTGAGGGAGGTAAAGCCCTCTCCCGATAGCAAAATAATGAAACTTCTTACATTTCAGTAACTTGTTCCCGCCACTATTCTCGCTAAGACTTGGTAGACTGACGACGGCTATCATCTTTTCCCGCCAAAATGACACTGGTTCACGTGCGAGCACTACATTACATGGAAAAAATCTCGTACTCATAGTCGTCCTCGTCTCAGAATCTAAAAAAGCTCTCTATTTAGGGAGCTTAGCAACGACGACGGCAACTGCGGCATCGAAAACGTCACCCAAAAAAAGAATTCGCGCCGCTTCAAACTTCATCGCCCTTATTGCAACTCTTTTAATTTGTCAAATATTCACAAAAAGAACAAAAAATCGTTGTCATGTGTTCTCGCCCTCCATTAACGTGAAATTAGGGAGTTTCCCGTGGTAGTCGAGCAGGGAAGGAAATGAAATGTACAAAAAAGCGTGATGCACGTGCATATTTGCTGTTTTGCCAATGTAAATCGTAGCCGTTGTCGTCGCCAATCGACCTCGTTCCCAGGGATCCTTGTTACTCGTTCTGCGGAGCAAATTACTAAAAAAAAAACTACCTCCACAAAATTTCAGCTTTAACACGACGACTCCATGCACTTACATCAACTGGTGGGAAACGCCTGATGTAAGGCCACGCCCACACGAAATCGTTGTCTTTTGAAAATGGAGATTTTTTTCTCAGTTTTAGCCTTCCGTTCCGTTCCACACTTAAACGACTCGAGCACCAAAAAAGCAGGTTTTTGAAACTGGTCCCGAAGTGAAGATTTGTGGAATCGCCGGATTGTCGTTTTCTTGTGGACGGACAAAAACAGAGGTTTTGAGAATACTATGATGTCATACATCATACAGCGCATGTTCTGTAAGGGATGCTACAGCTGATGCTATCGATTGTTTTAACGAGAACTTTACGATCTAGTAAAAACAGCGTTCTGATTCTGCTTACGACTCCGTCGTCAGTATGATCAAGTGAAAAACTAGGTTGTCGGAGTCGCAAACAGAAGCAGAAGAACTAAACCAATCACAAAGCTTGGGAACTGCTTACGACTCCAACTTTTGAGTCATAAGCGCTCTTACGACTCCGACTCCGACTCCGTCGCTAGTGAAGACCAGCCTTAAGAATGCGTACTCTTTTGAAAACGGCGAAAAATAGTCTCCTTCTTCAAAAGTATCTAGGTAAGTGTGGAAGTGGTTTTACGTTTTAAGCTAGGTCTTTATCTACGTTCCTTTCTTTATTATTAATTTTTTGCTTGTAATCATAATGAACTCTCGTTTTCCATAATGACAGTTTTTCAAATCATAGATGTTAAAAACATCGATCTTAATGCGTATTACAAATTAAAAGGTGTTGTGATCTTTATAAAAAACGCGATTTATTTACTGCTTTCTCAATGAGAAAGCATGACCGATTTGTCAAGTCATTGGATTCGCAGTCGGCTGGTCCCATATGTTCGAGTCCCCCGATTCAAATCCTCAACAATGCTTGAATAGCCAACTCGTTGCCTCTTGCTATATCGATTTCAGAATACCCGGACTGCTTCGCCCCACATAAGGTAATCAAAGACAGTCTAGCCTCGTTTGAATAACATCCAGTGGATTCTGGATTCCAGGTACAGGATTTCCGATTCCTGGATTCGGATTCCAAAAGGGCTGGAACCCGGATTATGGAACTGCTGGGCGAGCTGCTCCTGTGGCGTCGCAACAATAATCAAGTAAGTGGTGTCGTGTTTTCAGTTCATACTCCCGCAGTCCCGTTCCTATAGTCAAAAAATCTCTTTGAGTCAAATACAGTCAAACCCCACTTAAAGGGGCTGTGTCGCGGCAGTCCAGTTCATTTTGTTTAATTTTGCCAATCACTCGCCCTCAATCGCTATGGAACTTAAAGTAAGCAAAGAAATTACATGGAAATGACAAAATCAGAGATCCGAGACAAACAAATATGTCGCCTGAGCGTTATTTTTCAAGTTGCAAACAGCAGAGATCAATTTTGAAAAACTGTTAGGCTGAACAGTTTTCAAAAACTCTAATTTCAATCCGTTTCAATCTTCTTCAGTTTTGCCCATGCGTGGCATCTGTTGTATCTGTTGTGTTATTTTAACCTTCCTTTAATGTTTTAAGCGGTTATTTTTACGTTTCTCTTAATTTAACGGGCATTTTGTAACAGGCCATTTCCGAGTTCCAAAAAATGTCACTTTCGAAACGAGGCTAAGTGCGAAACCTTTGTTGTGAAAAAGAGTTTTATTTACATCATAATTAAAAATCATTTTCATATCAATGGCTTCGCACTTAGCCTCGCTTTGAAAGTGAGATTTTTTGGACTCGGAAATGGCCTATTACCTAATTTGGCTGAATTACGTGACACAGCTCCGTTAATACGGACACCTCATTATTACGGATAGTCTTTTTTGTCCCTGGGGAAAAAAGCACCTACATTTTCTCTAAATTCAAGGACACTTTCTATGACCCCTCCGGCTCAGTGTCCACAGTGGTTTGAATCTACTTGAAAGACTGTTCCGGTATCCCAGTAGTGCCGCATTCCTATAGTCCACAAATATATCAAGAATGAAAAATGATGGATATCCAATTTGTCTTTACTTTGGAAAAGGCTAGGTAAATTTTAACAACTACAGGAGCAGCTTTTAAAGATATCTAAAGTGGCCAGGTATTCTGAAGTTACTTACCGGTAACTTTTTTTAACTGCGCGTTGCTTACCGTTTAACTACTGAGGGTCACTGAGCAACTTGAGTGATTTTACTTGAACTGTAAAATAGGTAGGATAATACAACGCATTATTATGCACTATTAAATTCTATTAGAGAGTTTTAGATCCGAGTTTACCGATACAAAAATCTTGTGGAGGAAGTCATTATCCATTAACAGAGGCACAAATTCGGGCGAAATGCTCAATTTGATAAATCCTATTGGATCTTGAAAACAAGTGCCATTCATGGCTGTTGATTCAAAATGGCGGCCGTAAATTTGAAAGAAGAACTAATGTAAGAATTTACAGCTCTTTGCTGCTAGATAACCCAGTGTTACCGTAAATTTCTTTTATTTTCACTGATTGATTCTTCTTCTATTTCAAAATGGAAAAAATAAACCAGAATCTACTTCTTTCATCCACCGCCAATCTAAATCGAATTATGTTGGAACGTCGAACCGCAAACGGGTAACCTCAAAGCGCGGTTAGAGGTTCGCGGTAAACTCGGATCTAAAACTCTCTATTCTCTTCTTCTGTTTACACCTCGCTATTTTGCACTATTTGTTAGTATCTGTTTCTCGATTCAAGAAAACTCACTCTAAACGTTTTTAAAGAACTCATGTTGCATCCACTGCGCACCATGTAACCAAGTCTACGTGAAGAGTTATTCCGTAGTCACTTCGGTGCAATATATTCTTCTAATTTATGCCAGAGTTCAGGGAACATGGTTTTGACCTCTGAAGCGTTAGGGACGTGTCGATCGCTGTAGTCAAAGCCAGGAGAAACGTGCTCTGAAATTAAAGTAAACGGTGTTTCACCTGGAAACGTGGCGCATTCTTCCTCCTCTAAGATTTTACCAGCCTTTAGAAAGCCACCAGGGACCCGAAGCTGATGCACGTGGCCTTTTGACGTATCGCGACCCAATACATATTCTTCAACATCCCCTTTTGGGGAAACAAGGATGTACTTTGCTGGCCATCCGTCGTGAAAGTAATGCACGTTATCGCTCTTGTTGCTGTGTAGATAGTTTTTGCCACCCAGTTCTGGTGAAATCATGTAGTAAATTGTGGTGAATAAATTCCGCTCGCCACCCTCTCGATCTGGTGTAGAAACTGTTTGAGGTGATCGAAAAGTTTCCTTGAAGTAACCTCCTTCCTCAGACAAAGGGGCTAAGCCTATTTCTTGAGCATAATTATCCTTTCTATGATACATTAGGAAACGGCGTATAACTTCTGAGTACTTAAGTCAGAGTCAATTAAGCTATCCACGCTTCAAAGGATCACGATGTTATTCAATTTACTTATTTCAAATGTCAATGAATACTTACTACCATAAAAGGAAGGCCACCCCTACTAAGTGGGCGCGATCCATTCACCCAAAATTTCCAGAAATTCGGGTTCAAAACTCAATGGATCGGTTCGGTCCAACCGGAAAAGCTTCGAAAAAACTGGTCCACCTTTTGAGGTGGACCACTTTTTCCGATAGGACT